TGTGTATGTTACTGGCGAGTGATACTATTGAGAGTTGTTTGTATTGCGTGACATTATCCTCTTAGCTGGCATTTCTCTGTGTGTGACACTTCTGTGCAGGATCAAGATTTTCGAACACTTTCACTTTTATGTTATGTTATTTCGCCTTCGTTGAAAATGGTTACTATATAAGTCATGCCTAAATTAGGATGGGGGGGGGCATCAGTCTAATTGCATGTGCCTAGCTACTGTTTACCTCACCATACAATATTTTCCATTCATGTTAGTTGGTATAATATGGTCAAAAATAATGAGGTTAGACGTTGAGCGTTAGGAATGTAAGCGAAGTCAGTATGTCAGCATCTAAAGCCTTATCGACCGAAGTAACTGGGATATAAGTAACGCTTACCTACGTTGAAGAAGGCTTAGAGGTGGTCAAACCAAAACATGATACCATTTCAAGAATTCTTTGACTGTAGGTTTGCACAAGTCACGTAGGTGGTTGTAGACCTATGGATGCTTAAAATCGATGGTTGATGACTGTTTTTAATGCTCTGAGGTTGACTTGTTATCTGTTTATTGGTGAGTGGTCAGTTTGCAGTAAGATCTCTCCTGCTATCTAAGACTTGTCAACTAGATATGCGGTAGTGTTTCTGTGGAGTAAATCAGTGGCACTGTGTGTGATTTCATCCATAACCATAACAGTGAACCTCAACCAGGTAATCTACACCTTCTTATGTGATTCTTGCCAACAGTTATCGACTTCGAGGATTGATGTTGTACTGTGATCTGATCATTCGTAGCTCTCACTATGAACTTAACCACACAGTCAACATTGCACATCGAGGAAGGTAGTGGGGCGACATAGTCTCTATATATTTCCTAGACATTTTGAGCTGGTGAAGTTTCGTAACCTTATCGAATAACTTAACTTCCTCCCCCGATACTTCACTCCTATCGTGTCTCCTACTTTCATCGGTCATGTTATGTCGAACTGTTGCTTGGCGCACAAACCCTTTGCTGAGTTGTCAGAATTGACTCAAGTTGGTGGATGCCAAAGAGACCTTTTGTCTGCTCTATTTCTTTTGCTGTTAATTGTGTGAAAGGAAGATATTATTATTGTTGCCTTGTGTTCCGAGTGGGACATAGGTCTTCAACAACACATCTCCACTTCGTTCTATTTTCTGTCGTCATCTTCAGCTGGGTCAACGATTGACCAAACTCTCTCATCTCTTCCTCATACGATCTCCTCCGTGTCACCTTAGAATGAACCACTCGTCGCTTCCCAATTGGATTCCACTAGAGTGACGACCTGGCGTGCGATGTCATCCGGTGGCCTCCCCAATATATGCCCGATCCATTCATCTCCATTTTCTCCCACATATTTGGTGGACGATCGGTTCTTGTTACTGATTCTTTCTGACTGGCTGGTGGGCCATTTCATCTTCAGTATGGAGCCAGCCAGCCAGTGAAGGGGCAGCTGTTGGTGAACGTTTGCAGCCTCTTGGCAATCCTTTTCGTCACTGACACGCAGTGCAAGTCTCTGACCCGTATAGAAGAACTGACCGACTTGACATTGGTGTTGGGAATCCGAATCTTGTTCATTATGCAGGCCGAGTGAAGCAGAAGACTTCCGAATCGGTTTCAGGTTGATGAAAGCGTATCTTGCCTTTCCGATTCCGGCTAGCTCAGATATCCCCATCCGTTCCGACTGTCTATGGTTGAAACGACGCTTCCTGGCTGGCTAGATGAGTGAAAGAGGTGGCCTCTGTTAAATCTCTGTCTTTGATAGTGACTGGTGCTGGTTGTTGTTGTTGTTGTTGCTGTTCGTTGGTTATCTTCATCACTTCCGTCTTCTCTATGTTCAGCTGCAGTCGTGTCTTTGCTGCTTCAGCTTTTTCAGCCAGTTTTTGGGTTTTCGCTTGCAAGTGTTCGAGATTGTGTGTCATTAGACATGCATCATCCACATTTGGAATCCAGATCTTCTAGAGTCTTGTCGTCTGTGGTCCAGTGTACTCCTGTCTCCTCGTCCCCCCCCCATAGTCTGAAGCATAATCCAGCTCGCCACGTTTGAGAATCTCATCGATGATAATAGGCAGGCCGCCTTAACTTTCTCCTGTTTGCAATTAGAACGTCTCACTGAGTTTCCCGTCGTGGATCACCTGACTGACAAGTGCCACTGTCACATTGGTGTTTAATGAGGTTGGTAAAGACTTGGGCTCTGTACGCCGTAGTTTTCAAGTAGTTACCACATTACGTCTCGGTAAATGCTGTCGAAGGACTTCTCGAAGTCGATGAAGTTGATGTAGGGAGAGGTTGGACTGCGATTCTATGCTTTGTTTTCTGTGATGATGATAAGTTGAGTTGCATTTTGATCTGCAGATGATTTGTCTTTCCTGAATCCGCTGTGTTTCAGAGAGGGGTTCTTTATCCAGTGTATGCTTTATTCTCTCCAGGATGATGATGAGACTTAGTATTTCACTTCTCGTGGACAACACCATGATTCCGCATCAGTTTCTCGAAGGTCTAAGTTTTCTATCTTCGGTAGTGTGACAAAGTAGCCTTTCTTCCGATTCGTAAGTACCTTTTCTTCCTTCCAAACATTTTGCAATAGTGGCAAAAGCACATCCGCTGTGGTCTCCAGATCTGTCTTAAATACTTTGGAGGGTATTCTGTCTCGTCCTGCTACCTTCACGGACTTTACTAGCTTGAGTACGTTGAAGACTTCTGCTTTTGTTAGAGAATTGGTGTCGAATGGCTGGGGGCTGTGTGCGTGCTGTTACCGGTGGTGGTTTTATTTTCGGACGAGCTGCAGGTGATCGTCGATTCAAGAGTCCTTTGAAGTGATCAGATCATCCGATTGTTTAATTTGTTCCTCCTACTCGGTAATCTGGTTTCCTTGAGCATCTTTTATTGGTTTCATCATCAGGGTTGATCTCTTCGCAAATAGAGACCTGATTATTTGATATAATGTCCTGAGGTCTGTTTTACCTGCAGTCTGCCTCTTCTGATTCCGTTGACAGTGTGTCGTAGAATTGTCTTTGGTCTTTCCTACCACTCTTCTTCACTTCTTTATTCTGGGTGTTGTAGATTGAACTCAGCTTCTCGTTTTTTTGCCCATCTTTGCATTGAGTCATTTCCTGTCTCATCATCCTCCTCTCCTCCATTTCATTAGCTTCCAGATAGGTGTCCGTTGAGAGCCATTCTTTGTCTTTTCTCTTCCTTCTTCCTAGAGCAGCTGTACACGTATCCTTGAACATCATCGACAGAGAGTTAGTTCAGTGTTATTCCACACAGGCTTCCTCATTGATGCTACGTAGTGTCTTATAGTTTTGTCCTTCAGTTTCTGAATCTTGAACTTGAATTACGGTGGCCTGTTTCCAGTTGTTCTGAAGGATTTCAGCTTCACTTTGAAGATTCCTAGAACTGGATGGTGGTCTGAGCCCTCCGACATCTGCTTCCCTTCTCGACTTTGTATCCAGCCGACTAGCTGTGTCAGCCTCCACTTCCTTGATCAGTATTGATATGAAATCTGTTTGATTTGTGGCATGTCCGTCAGACGAAATCAATGTCGCTGGCTTTGTGTATATCCTTGTGTATGCACACACTCCCTCCGATCACCAAATCGTTGGGAGAGCAGAAGTCTGCAAATAGCTCTCCATTCTCATTCATTTCTCCAGGTGAGAGTCTCTTGATCCATGATGAATCCTCTTCGAGTATTATCAGGTTTCAGTTTGTCGTTCATATCGCTCATGAGGATTTTGATGTTACCACTTGCGGTGTTGTCCATTACTGTTTGTAGTTGTCTGTAAAACTCTTCCCTTCTTGTCTTGTTCCGCGTTGTTTGTAGCACTGTGCGTAGCATTATTGCATGATAATTGTAACCTTCCTGCCTTCTTATGGAGTTGAATCTTGTTGTCATGATCCTGCAGGATGAGATTGGTTCCCACTGCATTAGAGCTTTGGCTGACGCTGGCGACATCATCATAGACACTCACTGTCTTAGTGTGTCCGTGGTTGTCGTCTGGGTGACCAGACTGGAGTAGATTACTGACTCTCCAGTTGACAATGTTGTCAATCCACATCCATTCCATCTGCTTTCTGAGGTTCGCAGCACATGTATGCCATATCTTCGCATTTCCTTGGCTACTTGGGAAGCCTTTCCAGCCAGTCTCGTAGATTGTACAGACATTCCACGTCCTCAATCTAACTCTTGCTTTCATCGAGAGAAGACACATCGGCTGGTTGACTGACTGGCTTCCCGGAGGCCAACTTTCGCCAGTAAGCCGTGTCCTCTCGCCTCTCCGATTCGAGCGACGAATAAGACTGTTGTCATTTGAATATTTTGTGTTTTCAATATATTTTCTGTGTGTTGAAGTTTCTCTGTCGGTTTGATAGGTTTAGTGGTGTAGAGTTACTGGCCCTACGCTCAACCCTCATTCATTACCCGGGTTTGGGATCGGCTAGTTAACTAGGATTGGTACAAAGAAGATAGATTACTAGATTTCCGATCAAATTCACGTTTTTAATTCTCAATGAATCTAGAAAGGCTTTTTGTCTTGAATTTTCCTTGTTCGACGTGTGATATTCATACACATATTTAATTATTCAGGTATGTTTTTGTTTCTAAACTGTCCACATAATTCTTTTTTGTTGCTGTTGTACACAAAAGTTCAATAAAACATACTTTTGTAAGTTTATTTTTTGTGTGTAAAAAGGTAATGGCTTAATGCACCACTAAACGAACACAAGCTGCATGATATTATCGTAAGCAGTCAGTATACGATGAAGACTGTAATATTCACGTGCACATTTCCACTCATTGCTGTTTCTTTGCTTTTTTCAACGTTACACTCACTGTAGTCCATTTATTTCAAACGTATCTTTGTGCGTGTGTGTGTATTCCTGGGCTGAGTAGTTTAATTTCTTGTGTTGTTTTTAAAAGTATCTTCTTTTATATTTGTAATTCAATGTACACTTTTTCGTCAATACTTGTGGTTCATCTTATCTGTCTCCCCTAGGCTTGTTGCAACTATCGAAAATTGACAGCATCTGTTGTCAGTCTACTGGCTGAAGAAAATATAAACGATTTACAACGTGTATTTTGTCCAGGTCGTGTAATATTTATCAGCCTGGCTATTTCGGAAAACTCATTAGCTCAGAGACAGTCTTCATCAAAACAGTCAAGTTGGCTGGTACCTGCTGTTTTAGTCAATTTGTCAAAGAAAAAGGTCAAGAATGAGAGTGAAATACAAGTGAGTCTGTACCCTTTTTATTTTCTTCAATTGGTGTTTTATGAGAGGGAAAAACAAACGTTTATCTGAGATGTTTGTCATGAACATTCTTCAATTTTTTTTAGAAATACTCAAAACAGTAACATTTCACTTTCGAATTTTACTGTTTCATTCAATTTTCAGAGGTGTAATGCTTGGAGCATATCAGTTAATTAGAGGATACAAAGTAATCCGCCTTTTTCGTTGGTGCTGCCAGTGTCCTAAGTTCTCATTTAATAGTGTGAAAAAATTTGGGCGTTTGGAATATATTTATATCCTCCACTTATAATGAGGGGAGGAGTGGAACAAAAACGATGTTCTTTTTTTTACTGACTTTTCGTTATTAATAGTGCTGATAGTTTCTGTCAAAGAATTGTAAAACTAGATTTCAGCTTTTATATGTTAACCTGATCAAAGTTCTTCTGTATGTAGTAATTCAATATCGCAAAGCAAATGAAGGAGGAAGGTGATAAATACAAGTGGAATGCTGTCGTTGACCTTTTTTCTTGTTCAGACAATCTAGATTCCATTTTATGTAAGAAGAATAATACAATACTGGAATTCATTCAAAAATGTATTAAAACCTTTATGAAAAAAATAGGTTTACTAATATAAATCAGACTCATGACGTGGCGTGTGCCACTGATAAGATTTATCAGTAGTATGTAAAGAGACATTCATTGATATAAAAATGTCAGATAGCAGACAGATACATTTGAGTTCAAAGACAGTAAATGATTCAGCTTTGTGGGAGAACACGGAAGACATGAATAGAAGACAAATAAAAAACAATATGAACGGCAGAAGTAGCGCAACACGAAAGATCTGTGCAAATTGTGTGTTGAAGATAAGTTGTGCATAATTTCGTTATACAAAGACACCAAATTCCAAATGAACACTCCTTTACCAAGTCTCTTGTCTTCTCACGCTATAAAAATATGAATAATAAGGAGTTTCCAGTCACCATTGTACTATGATATAAAGTGGGAGATTGTTAACCGTTTTATACGTTCCTATTAAGACCAGAAATGGATTTATATTCGAACTTGCCAACTCTCAGGAATCCAATTAACCCATTTAGATAAAAGACTATAACCTACCTAACATCATTTAATGGCTTTCAGATCAAACTAGTCGATTCGGATCAGTTAGGAGACCAGATCACAGGAATTTAGTTGGATTTAGGTTGGGTTAAGTAATCTAGAAAATAATCGTGGTCATTACTATACATGCTTTTGTGTATATTCAAAGAATAGTGTGAGAGTATAGAGTAATATAGTTAAGTGACAAGACAGGCTAATCATGAAATCTCTGTTCACTCACTGAATGCCCAATACGAACGATAAAATTTAGGCGACACTGGTTTCAGATATATACAGAAAATTGCATTATAAATTAGTAGTGTAACAACAGAAGACAAGGGCCAGGCCACACATCGTTTATTAAGGAAATCAGCACGTATTTATATATATTTCATGCACATTATTATAGCTTATTCAAGCAGACAAACACAGTCTTCTGATTGGTTGTTTCTTGCTCAAGGTTATTCTGTACTGCTTGTGACTGGTTTCTCAGAAAGCCAAGCCATATATCTGCGAATCTTATCTGCCCACGTTACGTCTGCTGTGGTTGGTTGTTGAATCAGTCTTGTTCATATTTTCTCACGGCCAATATTAGCGACATAGACATTGACGTAAATTAATGTCTACCAATTGCCTAGGAGCCTGCTATCACCACAGTAGTAGGCAGTTTTTTTTCCTTCACGTTCCCAGCCTAGGATCGAGTCCCGGACCACATGCGTGGCTGGCAAACATTCTACCTGTGTGCCATTGATATCATACTGAACATTAAACAACACTAGGAGTGTCATCCAGTTATTAATATTATATCACTGAATTTTATAGTAAGTAGATACACATATCACATTTGCAATTTTTATCCTGCTATAATATTCGGATTCTACTTTAATAACACTAAATGATCTTATCAATCAGTTAAGATAGTGTCTTCGAATACAATTTAGTTGATTTATAAAGTTGTGGGTGGTTTAGTTATAGTCAATACAATGCCAGAGATTACTGGCCCAAAAGCCTTATTTACTTTAAGTTAAAACTCCTTACATTTCCTAGTATTTATAATTTCTTTTGCTCCAGACGTATATATGTTTCTAGGTCTCTTCGATTTTCACTGCTTTAGTGGAAAGTATAACAACATTATTCCATGCAGTAGTACTTTCGCCCCTTTGCTGACACGTTCGCTTCTCGTGTCTCAGCCACTGTATATGTACCAGCCTTCCAAACCATGGGTCTTGGATCTGTATTGCGTCTCAGTCTAAAAATCAAAACTCAGGCACACTTAACTATTATTGTTGTATTATTGTTCCCTTGGGTTCCGAGTGAAACATAGGGCTTCAACATCACATCTCCACTTCGTTCTATTTTCCGCCACCTTCTTTATCTGGGTCCGCAATTGCCCATAATCTCTCACCTCTTCTTCACACGATCTCTTCCACGTTACCCTAGGACGACCAACTCGTCGCTTCCCATTTGGATTCTACTCGAGCAATGGCCTGGCGAACGATGTCATTCGACGGCCTCTTTAATATATGCCCGATCCATCCATCTCCATTTTCTCCTACATATTTCTTGAACGACAGGTTATTGGTTAGCGGATGCCGGCGCTCTCCACCGGGTTGACTGTCCATTGGATGACAGTCTAGGGGAGATGGCTAAACCCTGATTCCAAACCTCCAACGACTGGCGTATGAAGCTCACTGGAGCTCACCGGCAGACGTATGGACAAAGGGCTTGTTGGATGTCCTGGATGTCTGGCCCCATTCAAAAAGGCGTATGAACCGAACTCCGGTCACCGGCTTCAATGGATAGTGACTCCTTACTCCACTCCTACTGCCTTGTAGGTCACACTTGGCTGTGTAAAGGCTAGAGCTGCACTCTCAAACAAAAGGCCGAGCGATGCTGGGGACATCACTCGTACCTAATTCGCATGAAACTTCATGAACTCTCTTACAAATTGCCGCGCCTGGGCAGCGATGATTCGAGACGTTCATGAAGCCGGCTCATCCTCCCGTAGGAGATAGCCGGAGTAAAGTAAAGTAAGTTAGTTTGTTCCCATAGTTTCTTGTTGCTAAGTCTCTCTGGCGGGCTGGCCATTTCATCTTCAATATGGAGCGAAGGCAATTAACAATTTCCCATTAGATTGACACCAGTATTGCGGACTTCAGTGGTAACCACCACCGAACTATGCTGGTTTTTATTGTATCACCACTTTTTTTACGCAAATTACCTGCCTCCATACACGGATGGGAATCGCAGACAATGGAGCTAAGGTTTGGTTCACTTCTCCTTGCGAATTTCAATACATTTTTCAAAAATCTATATGTTCATTACTATCTTTAGAGTCTGTGTTTATTCACTTTATTGTATCTTTCCATAGTGGGATATTATTACCTGGCAGGTACCTAGTCTACCGAAAAACTTGTACAAAACTGCACAGAATAATAATTCTGTCGAAGAAGATAACAATAACAAGGAAAAATTCAACGAAGCAGACGAAGAAGACATCCTAAGGGAAGGTGAAGATGTTCAGCTTTCTGTGACACCGTATCCTCCCCAATTAATACCAGTTTTTGTTCCAAATGTAGGTCAACATCTTCCTTTATCTTAGTATCTGTTTGTGGTAATTCTATCTAAAAGTTTAGATTATTGTCTCAAAAGTTTTTGAATAAAGTACACATTGCTTATATGAATAAATTCCTTATGATTGATAAGACATAGCCGGAAGTCATCTCAGCTATCTGATGGAGTGTATTATTAGTTGATAACAGAATTGAGTGCTTCATCAGATTTCCAAGCAAAGACTGGGACTAATGTCTCATTTTCCGACAATACTAAATGAATGACCCTTTAATGCACTGCTGTAGCTGTGACAGTCAACCAGCTGTTATCCAAACACTTAGGAGTAATGCGTGTAATGGTGTGTGTGTGTGTGTGTGTGTGTAAAGTCCAGCTCCAAAAGACTATAAAAGCGTATCACAGTTCCTGTCTATTAATAGAATGTGGGTGTGCATGTTTGTATGTAGAAGTAAAGTGATCATTTTGTAAACATGTCAGAAAAAAATAGTGTGAGTGACATATATTTCATAGTCATTGTGGGCGAATGAATGACGTTGAGACATTTAATGTTTTTTACGGAATCTGTTTGCTAAAGTTTGAACAGTTCTTTAATAATGTCTGAGATGCATGTCGTTAATATGTTTCTCACTGAACAATTTTCCCTTTGAGTGTTGCTGCTAAATTACAGCAACAAAACAGACTGTGGTTGCTTAGTTCCGCAACTGTGATTCAGGTTTTTGACATTTTGTCTGATACTTGTACAAGTTGTGTTTTGTAATTCCAAATCTTTTACAGACTTCTGTATGTGATGAAACTATGGCTTAGCGCTTTAGACTCAATACTTTTGACCTCCATTTCATGGGTTCTAACAACGCTCCATCTACCGAGGTTATGGTAGTATCACTCGCCCTCACACAATAGATGCTGCATGCAGTTGAAAGGGGTTGTTAATTTTGTATTTTTTTTTCTGATTGTGTTATTTTATAGCCGTATAGTAAAACAATTGTACACCGGTATGGTTGGTGTTTGTGCTAGACAGACAGCCAACTTAATTTATTAACTTTTTCAGGTATTCGTTTTGTATGGATTTCGTTTGATTGGGGGGAGGATTTCATCGTGAACTGACATCAGTTAGAGTACAGTTGGAAAACTTGAGAGTACTGCACGATTGTTTCGTCCTAGTTTGAGACTCTTCATCAGTATGCACTCACCGCCATGGTTAGAACCTAGGACCTTCTGGTTACAAGGCGAGCTAGCTAGCTCGTAGACCATTCAGCCACTTTGATCCGATCGAATGGTCAGCCCATCAATTCTAACTTCCAATTCATGAAACAGCGCAACCACTTCTTAATGTCTTCTTCGATGAGTTACTGCCTCAGCTTCAACCTGCTGTACCCTACTAATCATGGCTTCCCACTTTCCATTTTGTGAAGTTGATTACACTATTCAAACAATTTCTTGTTCACTTTACCTAAATTAACGTTTCCTTTTTCTTTACATTGATTTTAGTCGCTGGAAGATAGTCACGCTCGTCTAACATTGTTGTCAAATTCATCGGCCCGATTGTTTGTACGTATCTGTGATCATGTTATTACATTTCAAAATTATTCAGCTGTTAACAATCCTAATGTTACTTTATCAGAAATGTTAATTCGTGGCATTAAACGACATCGTCAACAAATGGCTGCTTTAGAGGCTGGTATGCGTTTAGTGACTGGTGCAAATACAAATGCTGGTGATGGTGATTCTCTGCTTTTACTTGATGAAATTAATGTAACTTTATTCAATCTTGTGAGTTCATTGGTTCCTGAACCGTCAAAAACAACAACAACAACGTCACACGAATCTTCATCATCTACAATATACGGTCTGCCATCAAGTTGGCCCACAAAGATTGATTTAAGGAAATCTTTGAAATTTAAGGGAATTTCAGAAGAGGTATGCTTCTAGTTTGTTCTACTTTTATTTACCTGAAAAATATCACGCTTTTTCCAGAAGATGTATTTTTATATTAAGATGAAGTTGGCGAAGTTCTAACGGAAGTTTGTGTCCGATACGATCCACCAAACTGGGTAGGAGGAATGATACACACTGATGGCATTTAATCGTGGTGATCTTATATCGCGAATGTTAACGTGCTTCTTTTCCTTTAACTTCTTGTTCATTCTCTGATAGAGGCATTCGCACATAGTGCTGAAAAGTCTCGAAACACAACGAATTAGATGTCCAGTTCTATTGGTTTTCTCTTCTTTTGTGACTAATTCTGGTTAATGATGAAAATGCCGCCTTGAAGATAACAGAATCCATATAATCCGACTTTTGGAAACATTAGTCCTGTTTTGTTAAGACAGTTAATTACGCAACAACTGTGAAACAAATCAGGTCACTATTCGTCTTTTTAAAGTCATTGAATACTGTCAGTCTCATAAACTAGTGTGAAATTTGTAAAATTATGAACGCAAATGCTGCGTCAAAATTACCGTTATTTACTCCTCCAGTCTTACGAAAACTTACTCCCGTGCAGCACATTTGTAATTGTATGGTCCTCCAGTGATACAACACTACCAACTCTGTGTATTATATGATAATTGGCCTATAGCTAATCTCTCAGAAGGTATGAGTTGTTCTCTAGGTCACTGATACGATACGATGCGTCACACGCCTGGATTGGGCTTGTTTTTGTGTTGGAACGTGCGAATAGTGTCCATATGCGGATCATGAGGCGGTTAAAAGTGTAAGTGTCCACCACCTCAACACTAGCACTACTGTCATGTTTAACTGGCTGTTGTTAAGCCAATTCCTGTCAAAGTCGACATTTTTCTATCCCTGCTGTTTAGTATATACAAACATTCATTACAAACAATTTTCTCAATGACTCATTATTTAATGTCTGTCTGACTGTCTGTCTGGATTCAACATAGAACTTGGCACCGAAGTGCAGCAGTTCGAGTTGCCACGTTCCAAATAGCACACAGAGGTAGACAAGAAGATGAGTGAAGAGAATTAATAGAGTTTGACAAGTATAAGAGTGAAACAGAATGGGTAATGGTAGAAAGGAATATGAAAGATTACAGAGACTGAATACATCTGCGCCATTGACAACGATTTTGAGCCATGTCACCTATTGTCTCCAGCCATTGATTCCTAGAGTCCCGAGGGCCCCAACCCGGGAGTCTGCATCTCCCTACCTGACTCAGTTTAACTGTCAAGGATTTCATGGATTGATGCCATGTTTTTGTTTGGCCACCACTGGCTCTTTTCCAACCTGAACCTATATCAGCTAGCAATGCCCGTCGGGGGAGGCGGTGGTTAGGCATGCGCACCACGTGACCTAGCCATCTTAGTCTATGTAACTTTATAGCCTCGTCGATTGATTTTCCCTCTTTGCCCAACACTCTACGCCTAACGTCAACATTACTTATCTTGTGAAACCACCTAACGTGAGACAGAGATCGCAGACATCTATGATCGAAAGCAGTCAACCTTTTCATGTCTTCAACGCGTATTGGCCATGTTTCAGAGCCATAGAGAAGGACGGAGCGAACTGATGAGCAGTACACACGTCCCTTGGTTGATAACCGGATGTCACGCCTACGCCAGAGATGGTGTAAGTCAGCGAAAGCAGCTCGAGCTTTTCGGATCCGTGCTGAGATTTCATCGCCAATCAGTCCGTTGGTGCTAATACAACTTCCCAAGTAGGTGAAGTGGTCAACATGTTCTATCACTTCACTCCCTATCACTAAGTTAGGGTTGACGGGGTCCAGTCCTGTAGCAGCATCTTACATTTTGCAGGGGCGAATCGCATGCCAAACATACGAAGATTGCTGCTCAAGGTGTTCAGAAGACTCTGCATTTTGTCAGCATCCTCCCCTAACAGGACTATGTCATCTGCATATTCTAAGTCCATAAGATTATTCCCTGGTAACAAGTCGATTCCTAAGTCACTACGTTCAGTTAAGGATACTTCCATTAGCATATCTATGATGAAGTTAAACAGAAATGGGGAAAGTGGACATCCCTGTCGGACACCACTGGTTGTTACCAATTCAGATGACAATTCCCCATAAGCCCTTACACGACTACGTGAGTTTGAATAGAGTGCCTTGATTAGTGCAATGTACTTTCTTGGCACTCCCTTCACAGTCAGACATTGCCATAGTACCTTTCGATCCACGGAGTCGAAGGCCGCCTTCAAGTCAAGAAATATGACAATTGTTGGACGCCGAAAAGTGTGTCTATGTTCTAGAATCTGTCGAAGAGTGAAGATATGATCTATGCACCCTCTACCTGGTCTAAAGCCTGCTTGATTTTCCCTTGTCTGTTCCTCCCGAGTTCTGCTTAGTCTATGCATGATTACTGAGCCTAGGATTTTAGAGACTATGTTCGTTAGGCTGATCCCCCTATGATTATCACACGAGGACTTGTTTCCCTTCTTGAATATCGGTATAATAAGTGACTTACCCCAGTCTGATGGTACTGTCTCTGATTCCCAGACTTTGCCTAGTACCTCAGTTAATCTACAAACTAGTATGTCACCCCCATATTTAAACACCTCCGGAATAATTCCGTCGGGTCCTGCCGCTTTGCCTCGTTTCAAATTACTGATAGCTTTTGTAACCTCACCTACAGACGGCGGACCAGTGTCTATATCCCATTCGGGTACGTGGTGGATGGCGGGGAGGTTCAGTGTGGCTGTAGGCAAGTTAAATTGTTCCTCAAAGTGTTCTTTCCAGCGTTCAAGGCGTCTATCCTGAGAGCTAATTAAGGAGCCATTTTTCTCAGAAATAGTCTCACTTATGAATTGCCTTCTCCCGCCCGATTCTGTGATGAGTCTAAAGAGTTGCCTAGTGTTGCCTATCGCCAATGCTTTTTCCATCTCTTTCGCCTTTGTCACCCACCACTGTTCACGGTCCTTGCGGAGACTTTTAGTAAGTTTCCTTTTGTGCAGCTTTCGCTCCTCATTGAATTCGGAGCTCGCCGGAATAAGTCTTCTAGCATCTATCAGTTCGGATGAGGCAGTCGAAATCCAGTGGTTTTTACTCACCTTTGGATTTGCCTTATTCACAGCTTTTACAGCTGTATCTATAGCTGACTGAATATTCTTCCAGGCTTCTCCAGGGTGAGCACAGCTGTCGAATACAGATATGCGTTTAGCTAGTTCTTCCTCAAATAGGGATTTAGTTTCCTGATCGAGCTGGGGACGTGATGGTTTTACCGCCAGCTGTTTCCTACGTCCGTTCAGTCGTAAGCACACACGAGCCCGGACCAGTGCGTGATCGGTATCTACACACGTGTTCCAGAAGGAGCGACAATCTCCTACCGACCCACGCCAACGATAGCTTATTGCTATGTGGTCTATTTGTGTCCAGCGTTGGTTTGATGATGGGGGTCGCCAGGTTAAACAGTGTCTCTCCTTGTGTTTAAAGTTAGTGCTTACAAGAAACAAATGATTATCTGAACAGAACTGTAGGAGACGGTCACCGTTGTCGGTTCGCTGGCACGGAACTCCATAGGTGCCACCGACATCCTTCTCAGATTGACACAATTTCCCTACTTGAGCGTTAAAGTCACCAGCTAGAACGACTATATCTGAGCGTTTAGCCTTTCTCACCAAACTAGACAGCTTTTGGTAGAACTCATCCTTCGTTTCATCCGAACTGCAGTCAGTGGGGGCGTAGGCGGAGATTACGAAAAGGCATCGGCGAGTAGTGCAGTCCTTTCTCCTTCTTACTGATCCGTTCAGACGGACAGCACACATTCGGCTATCTACCGGGATCCAGTCAAGCAATGTCTTTTCTGCCCTAGTACTCAGAGCTATCCCTACGCCAGCTAATCCTCGTGAACTAGCTGTGGCATCTCCTGACACCCTCAAGGTGAATTTTGAAGATTCATCCTGTTGGCCAGGTGGGGTTAGGTGAATAACCACACTTGGGTCTTGTATGCGTGTTTCTGAAACACAACATACATCAATGGCTCGAGATGCCAGGGTCTTAGCTAGTGATGCTTGTTGTCCTATTTGGCAAAGTGTCCTAACATTAAATGCTCCTATATGAAATTGGTGGCGTGGCTTTAGGAGACTATCCGTGGTGGTTTTTTGGCTTTCGTCGTTTTTAGTGGACACAGAGTGAAGAGGGAGTGAGGAGCCATCAAGTAGAGGAGTTGCATCACTGGGGGGAAGGCAAGGTAATAGAGATGAAGATGAAGACAAAGATAAGTGAGGATTAGAGAGGTTTTGTGTGCGTTTTGGATTGTGAGGGCGATTGTTACTTCCCGGCTGCCCACACCGTGGAAGTTGGTTGCGTGACCGCAGAGCCCAGGGGACAACTGCTTGTGGCCGGTCACACGCGGCCTGTTTTTGTTCGTTCTTTGTTGTTTTGTGTGCCTCAGTAGCATACTTATCACTCCCGCCCTGTGACACGGCAGCAGGAAGCGCGGTCGTTGTTAATCCGGGCCACGGCCGATCCGGCATGAAATTTTGTGAATTTGTTTGGATCATGGTATTGGATGAGGTAGCTGCTTTTTGTTTAACCGCTATCCAAACAACCTGCCTGGCATGGTAGAACCTCAAGAGACATAAGTCTCAGCCAGTATAGCTTGATTAGGTCATTGCGGTGTTCAAGCCCGACCACCACGTCAAGGTAGCAGCTTTCGGTCGGGTTATTTATTTAATGTATTTATTTAATTTATTTATTTAATGTACACCTATTATGTGTTAAAAATTTTAGGATGCTTGCGTGTTTGATGAGCACGCCTTGTTGAGTGATGAGTTAACAACACCTTTAATAAGCTCAGAAATTACCCAACGATTAGCTCCTGTCTGTTGTCCAGACTTGGTCGCACATCTGGAAATGATCCATCGTACCTGTCGTCGAAGGTGGGCAGTGAAAAGAATTGAAGAGTGTCTCTCTGATTCTCAATTGCAGTTAAATACAGAGTATATGGGACGTTTACGTGTTCTGGAAGAACTCGGATTTATCGATTCTGCTACACAGTCTGGTTGTCTTAGTTTGAAAGGTGAGATCTTCACTTTTGTTGTTGATATGATTTGTATACTACATTATGCTTTTCAATATAAGCGAGACTAGAAACAGTGATAAGCCGTGTTCGGGAAGAGATCAACGCAAGTGAAATCAGTAAAAGAAACTCCAGAACCGAATGGAATCCCCGTGATAGCTCTAAAACTTAACCCAAGGATTTCAGCAGACGTGCTCTCATCCCCACTACAGAAAGTGTAGAAGAAAGGAGAAGTACCTACCGATCGGAAGAAAAACTGGCTACCTTGTGAAACTATCAAAATGGAGTAACTTAAGCTTATGTTAGAACTGGGGTAGAGTCATACACCTATCCACCCCAAGCAAAACAGCAAGCCTTTTAATCGTGGATAGACACAATGATATCAGTTTCAAATTGACTCACCCTTTCTCTTGGCAATTTCCTATTTTGTCTCTCCATTCAGCAATATTGTTTGTTCAGAAGGGTCCGAAATGTGTGTTTATTTTTATACAATGAACTTTTCTTTATTGCCATTGTGATCTTCGTTATATTTAGGTCGAGTTGCCTGTGAATTGACAAAAATGGAAGTATTAATCACTCAGTTATTGCTTGATGGCTCATTCACTGATCTTTCACCGCCAGATCTTGCAGCAGTTTTGTCATGTTTTGTATTTGAAACACGTGGCTCTGATATTAGCACAGAACAACAGCAAGATGGTCAGTATTTACAAAGTCTTCTTGACTCATTGAGTAATTCAGTTGTCTCCAGTGAAGATGTCGGTAATTCTTGTGTTACTTATCCTCCAACTCTTGTACCAACATTGGTGAAAATTATATCCTTCGCGATAGAGGTATGTTTATGTGGGTTCACTTGTTTATCATTGGCTCTACTCTCCTAACTATGTGTTTGTCGATTAAATCAGTCAGCGATAAGCAGCAAAAGATATTCAGTTGTTGATTATCCCTTTCCCAAATTTCCTCTTATAAGTGTTTTTCCCACTCATGAATCTGCAAACCTAGTTTTCATATATATAAGGAAACACTAGCAATTGAATTCATTGTAATATGGGCTAATTGAACTGTATCCAATTAGCTGGATTTGAATATTTGCTCATGCGCCACTATTTATGATGCTTGACTTAGCCGAAAGTCGATTATTTATTTATTTATACCATTCTGTATTGTCGTTGCGCATGTATCGCTTGTTTGTGGGTGTGAGGATATAATCCATCGTGATTCAAATTCGCCGCGCTTCCGTTTCAGTATATTTGTATAGGTGAAGTGAAGGCAATCAATTACGGCTTGAATTTCCTCAGGTAGTCTATTTTGTATTACGGGCTTAGTGGAATGATACAGTTGTTCTAAAGCTGTTTTATCGCCTTTTTTACGCAGCTATTATTATTGTTACTATTCCTTGGGATTTCGAATGGGACACAGAGCTTCAATAGCAATGTTTACTCTAACAATGAGCGAAAACACATCGCGATAGCCTTTATCCTCACTCCTTTATTTTTACTCTTTTCTTTTTGTATCCTTGTCTATAATGTGTTAAATATTGTCATTGTTAGAATTAATGCAAGACATGTAGGCGGGTAGATAGTATAGTATTGACAGTTCGACCTTCTTCATGTTTCACTTTAATATGATATGAAATTTTAACCAATGATCGATAACTTGTGGATAAAATATAAGTGGTTAATTTTCTAAATATGGCTGTAATAACTATGATTATAGTAAGATTAGTAATGATAGTATTAATGATAACAAATGTACAACTAGGTGATGTAGGTGGGTAAATTTTGTTTTGATAAAGTCTCACAGTTGATTTGATGGTATCAGATGGTTGGAGGCAATCGGCAGGAAGCCTCGGACCTAAGTTTCGTGCTAGTTGGCACTCGTCAGAAAGGCGTATCTGCAATCTGTAACATTACAACCTGACTGATAGAATTCAGTCTTCACCAATCAGAGGACTAGACGCATCACACTAGTTACTAGTGTCAAATCAAAGTCTTACAGTGTTATACAGTAATTTTTACTGATGACGTTTCGAGCACATTTTATTGCTCATAATCATATCAAGGTGATACGTTGATATGATTACACTGTGAGGCTTTATCAAAACAAAATTTACCCAAAAATGGAATTACACTACTACAGTGTACAAGTTTTATTCTTATATCGACGGAGGTGATTATAAGAATAAGGAAGGATAGTATTACAATGTACACATTTCACTAATTAAATTAGATCTAAATTATTATTTCGTATTATAACCCGATCAGGAAACTAAATCCCTATTTGAGGAAGAACTAGCTAAACACATATCTGAATTCGACAGCTGTGCTCACCCTGGAGAAGCCTGGAAGAATATTCAGTCAGCTATAGATACAGCTGTAAAAGCTGTGAATAAGGCAAATCCAAAGGTGAGTAAAAACCACTGGATCTCCACCGCCTCATCCGAACTGATAGATGCTAGAAGACTTATTCCGGCGAGCTCCGAATTCAATGAGGAGCGAAAGCTGCACAAAAGGAAACTTACGAAAAGTCTCCGCAAGGACCGTGAACAGTGGTGAGTGACAAAGGCGAAAGAGATGGAAAAAGCATCGGCGATAGGCAACACTAGGCAACTCTTTAGACTCATCACAGAATCGGGCGGGAGAAGGCAATTCATAAGTGAGACTATTTCTGAGAAAAGTGGCTCCTTAATTAGCTCTCAGGATAGACGCCTTGAACGCTGGAAAGAACACTTTGAGGAACAATTTAACTTGCCTACAGCCACACTGAACCTCCCCGCCATCCACCATTTACCCGAATGGGATATAGACACTGGTCCGCCGTCTGTAGGTGAGGTTACAAAAGCTATCAGTAATTTGAAACGAGGCAAAGCGGCAGGACCCGACGGAATTATTCCGGAGGTGTTTAAATATGGGGGTGACATACTAGTTTGTAGATTAACTGAGGTACTAGGCAAAGTGTGGGAGTCAGAGACAGTACCATCAGACTGGGGTAAGTCACTTATTATACCGATATTCAAGAAGGGAAACAAGTCGTCGTGTGATAATCATAGGGGGATCAGCCTAACGAACATAGTCTCTAAAATCCTAGGCTCAGTAATCATGCACAGACTAAGCAGAACTCGGGAGGAACAGACAAGGGAAAATCAAGCAGGTTTTAGACCAGGTAGAGGGTGCATAGATCATATCTTCACTCTTCGACAGATTCTAGAACATAGACACACTTTTCGGTGTCCAACAATTGTCATATTTCTTGACTTGAAGGCGGCCTTCGACTCCGTGGATCGAAAGGTACTATGGCAATGTCTGACTGTGAAGGGAGTGCCAAGAAAGTACATTGCACTAATCAAGGGACTCTATTCAAACTCACGTAGTCGTGTAAGGGCTTATGGGGAATTGTCATCTGAATTGGTAACAACCAGTGGTGTCCGACAGGGATGTCCACTTTCCCCATTTCTGTTTAACTTCATCATAGATATGCTAATGGAAGTATCCTTAACTGAACGTAATGACTTAGGAATCGACTTGTTACCAGGGAATAATCTTATGGACTTAGAATATGCAGATGACATAGTCCTGTTAGGGGAGGATGGTGACAAAATGCAGAGTCTTCTGAACACCTTGAACAGCAATCTTCGTATGTTTGGCATGCGATTCGCCCCTACAAAATGTAAGATGCTGCTACAGGACTGGACCCCGTCAACCCTAACTTAGTGATAGGGAGTGAAGTGATAGAACATGTTGACCACTTCACCTACTTGGGAAGTTGTATTAGCACCAACGGACTGATTGGCGATGAAATCTCAGCACGGATCCGAAAAGCTCGAGCTGCTTTCGCTGACTTACACCATCTCTGGCGTAGGCGTGACATCCGGTTATCAACCAAGGGACGTGTGTGCTGCTCATCAGTTCGCTCCGTCCTTCTCTATGGCTCTGAAACATGGCCAATACGCGTTGAAGACATGAAAAGGTTGACTGCTTTCGATCATAGATGTCTGCGATCTCTGTCTCACGTTAGGTGGTTTCACAAGATAAGTAATGTTGATGTTAGGCGTAGAGTGTTGGGCAAACAGGGAAAATCAATCGACGAGGCTATAAAGTTACATAGACTAAGATGGCTAGGTCACGTGCTGCGCATGCCTAACCACCGCCTCCCCCGACGGGCTTTGCTAGCTGATATAGGTTCAGGTTGGAAAAGAGCCAGTGGTGGCCAAACAAAAACATGGCATCAATCCATGAAATCCTTGACAGTTAAACTGAGTCAGGTAGGGAGATGCAGACTCCCGGGTTGGGGCCCTCGGGACTCTAGGAATCAATGGCTGGAGACAGTAGGTGACATGGCTCAAAATCGTTGTCAATGGCGCAGATGTATTCAGTCTCTGTAATCTTTCATATTCCTTTCTACCATTACCCATTCTGTTTCACTCTTTTACTTGTCAAACTCTATTAATTCTCTTCACTCATCTTCTTGTCTACCTCTGTGGGCTATTTGGAACGTGGCAACTCGAACTGCTGCACTTCGGTGCCAAGTTCTATGTTGAATACAGACAGACAGACATTATTACCCGATAAATATTCTGAAGGAAATGAAGATAGACTGGACACATCGAAAAGATCGTTGGTAGTGACATTACGCGCCAAATCCTCAAATAGGAACCCGAATGGTAAACATGAGTTGGGCATCCGAGGGTGAAATGAAGGAGATTGTGTGAGAAAGAGATGAGAGTTTATGGGTAGTCGTGGTGCTAAAGAGGACTGTGGAGATGTGCTCTCTGGAGCTAAGCAAGTAATAGTGTTGAAAGTGAAAGGAATTAGAAGTTTTACTTAGTTTATGAGATTTACCTAGGACCCATGAAAAGACCAAGTTAAAACAAGCTTCTTTTGAATCCAAAGACTAGTGTTACTATCCCTAACTACCACAGCTTCGGCTATGTATAAAAGGAAAGTTCGATGCCACAGTGGTTAGGACTGTCGTCGACCATGCACATGTTCCGACGCACTCCTGATATCTATTGTCGGCCTGCAAAATTTGCGTTACCGATATCCATGCTGAAAATTCCATACTTATACCAAAAATACGGTGTGGAATCAAGCTGTAATCAAAAATAAATAAAAATAAAATTCCTCTCGACAGGTTTGACGAAATGCGATAGGTAATCATGTTAACGGTCCTTCAGTCCGCTTGGTTACCACTGTCAATGTCATTATGTAATATTGAGCTTTTTATTGATTTTGTTTAACATTTTTCAAAGCATGAAGGGCAGTGCTTAGCAGTGACTCTATATAGTTGCCTAGTTGTTCGTGCTGCATAGTTTTCTCCACAAGAATTGCTTAATTTGTAAATGCACGTAAAAGTGGCACAGAATTGGCTTAAGCTTTTAAAGAAAGCTCCTTATGTTCTTGGGTGCTGAACTAGTTACGTTCCTGTTGAATTGTATATGCGTATAAGTTTGATATTTGATATATTTAAAGCCTTCTTTGCTACTCCCCCAGAGTATAAGGCAGTTTTGTCTGAAAGAGTGACAATTTAAAATAGTACTTTTCTATATAAATTAAATCAAAAGCAAAAGGTGTGTATGCACATGAGTTTGGGCCTGTATTAAAATGTTCGAAAATAAGCACTACTGAACCTCGATGGAAAAGCCACCTTCAGGTTTTTTTAGACACAGTGTTGAATCTTTTTTCATTAGGCACCATTGATGCAAACTATTTTATTTTATTATTATTACTTTATTAGCTCGAACAATTACAGACTAAGCATGGTCTTAGCGATCCGTCTGCTGATACACGCATCACTCTTCAAGTTGTAAACGCTGTCCATGCATGGGCACAAGGTTATTCCTTCTCAATACTGGTATCAATGACAAGTGTCCCTGAAGGACATTTAATACGTGGTTTACTGCAACTTGATGAACTACTCCGTCACATATGCAGTGCCTGCCATCATCTTGGCGATAAAAATTTAAGCCTAAGAATGACTGAAGCAAGAAATGCAATATTACGTGATATTGTATGTGCACCGAGTCTTTATGTCGCTGATGATCTTTTATAAACTGAGACAATCCTTACTGCATTTCGTGTTTGTGAATACTATTTTTGCTCATCTTTTTGTTAATTTCGTGCTTGTCTATTCTGTTTACTGCCGGTACATTTCAGAATGTCTGAGTGACTTTTTTTTTAATCGTATATATATATGCTAAAGAATATTTTGTTCAGTCTTAATTTCCTGTTAGTTTATAGAATATTTATTTTCTTCTTGTTTACTTTCCACTATTTTGCATAATACCGTGTAATTCTGCTTTAATTTTCAATTGCTCTTATGGCAGCTAGTTAGCGATATGAAAAGTATACCTTTCTAAATGATTACTGAGAGTTATTCTTATTTTTGTATTTAAAAGACATATTGAATAGCCGAAAGTAATACTGATAATAATAATAATTTGTACTCTATTTCAGTATGTGTACACCTGGCATTACAGTATTGATTTAATAGTATTTGATATCTTTAAAGTCTTCTTTCCTACTCGACCAGAGTATAAGGCAGTTTTGTCTGAAACAGTGCCATAAACTGAAATAGTACTGTAACGACAGAAGACTAAGGCCAGACAAAAGATCGTTCAGTAGGGAAATCAACACATATTTATAGATTTTCATGTACATTATTATGGATTGTTGATAACAGACAAACACAGTCTTCTGATTGATTGTTTCTCTCATCTCTTTGTGTCTGTTTCTTGAATGTCAGATCATCCATCTGCTAATTGTATCCGCCTACGCAAAGTCTGTTGTGATTGGTTGTTGCGTCAGTCTCTGTTCTTCTTTTCACATGACCAATATTTGGGATGTAAACATTGACGTGAATTACTGTCTACCAATCTGGCCAGCAGACAGCTCTCACCACAGTACTATTTTATTTAAATTAAATCAAAAGCAAAAGGTGTATTTAATTCATTGGATTGTTTGCAATCTGGGTGGCGGTTAAGAGGTCATATATCATCCGTGACTGAATGCGTAAAACGACCAGAACGAGTTATCTTAAACTTTAGAATGTTAGTTGGGTCATATAGTCACTTGAAAGCATTTGTAAAGCTACTTTGTTGGAATTTTCGAACATCTATTGATGTACCTGTTTTATATAATATCATTTTACGAGAGATAACACCTGTCACTGATATCGTATTGAGCAGTGGCCTTCAAGTATCATCTGTTGGTGTTTTATTGGCATTTTCCACATACTGAAATTTCCCAAGTGACGCAAACTAATTAGAACCCCGTTGAAAGGGTATTTTTTCCTTAGGTAGGGGCTGCTGTGCTTATTTAACTTAAAGTTTTCCTTTGTTTGTCTTGATCCTGATCGGTTCGTTATACGTCTGATTGTTTACTTTTACATTTAATGCTACTGTCAATTGAAACAAGAACTTCCGTATGGGCAGCTTCTTGTCCGGAATGTCGTTTGTTGGTAGTTAATATAGAACAGTTCACCATCACTATGTAAGCATCCGTCATCATATAAAAGAGAAAATGTAGCTGATTGTGACATGTCAAGGAGTCTTTATTGATGTCTAAGCTGCTGTTTTAATGACAGAAGACAAAGGCAGACAACAGGCTTCTGTGATTGGTTGTTGAGTTCCTCAGGGTTAGGCTTCGTTCTTGTTTTTTCTCATGACTTCGATTCGGGACGTAAATTGTTGTCTACGATTTTGGCTGGCAGACGGCTCTCACCACACTATGGCTAATAGAATCCTAGAAATGTCGTGTTGGTCAGTCAGTTGATCTTTGAATAAACTAAAAACGTAGGAATTATATAATTTTTCAGCTACTCTTTGGGTCAAACAGTCTGTGCGTTTCCCCTACCCGCGAATAAAACCCATCTCAACGTATTAACTCACTTCAAGGCTCGATATCCAGTCTAAGTTTATCTAACTACCCACACTGCAGGTGGTATAATGATACCTATGACAGGAAAGTATAGTGTTGCTGAAAACCCTGCAGTCCTAGCAGGAATTCAAAGGCTATGCGAAACCTGTCCACTGGCCCAAAATAACGTTAACTGTGGCCAAAGCCAATACTTTATATTCCAGCTGTCGTTAGCTAAACCCAGTAAATGGTAGACATGGGTGCCTAAATTAGATCTTATCTTGCCATTGGGAGTGACACCGTGTATGAAAATACCTTCAGTTTACAGACTGAAAATATAAAACACATTGCAACCTTTGGTGTGTATTACGTCTACATTAACATGGGTTCACACAGACCCATTCAGTGGGTGTTGCTTCTTGTAGAAGCTACTGTGGCTATCGTAGGCACAGATTAACTTAGCCGCATCACAACCTTAGGTAAATCCTTGACATCCAAACCACAATGGCTTGCTCCTGGCAAACTACGACTGACGCGTAATGACTTCAACCACGTGTTCACTCTTGGCGTCATTCAGCTGCCAGATAGCTTATGGTATCCCTACTCCATATGGTGCCGAAGATATCAGTGATAGGCAATCCACTGGTAATTACTGGCGACGGAAGATCATAATGACCTCAGACCACTATCCATCACCCCGTATACAAGACTTAACGGCGACATCACCTAGCTAAAATATGTTTTCGAAAATAGACTTGTTTAACGCGTACAGCCGAATTCCGATGGCACCAATTGATATCCAAAAACCTCTATTATTACACCTTTCGGACTGATGGGATTTCCGGGTATTCCATTTTGGTTCCAGCGAGCAGACAACACTTTCCATTGTTCTACCGGCCGGGTATTTCGTGGTCTTGATTTGGTATATTCATAATTAAACGCCTGCACCAGTATTAGTGCAAGCAAGGAAACGACCTTTCATACCCAGACTTAGCATTCTATAAGCTACATCAATATTTTGTTACTATTAACACACGAAAGTGTTGGATAGGAGCGGAATGAATGGACATTCTTGGTCACGCCACTGACTGTAAGTTATGCGCCCATTGGCGAGTAAAGCTGGCGCGATTATGAACTTTCCAGAGCCAAATATGGTGAAAAATCTTCGCACTTTTATGGCTTGGTAAGTTATTACCGAAGCTCTGCTCCCTGATTCACCACTGACAGACGACATTCTACGGGATGACAGGTTGATGGAACTTAACGCGTTCGTTTACGTTCAAAAACACTGCGGACACCACCATTAGTTATTTCATTTGATAAGTCCGACAGGGATCCGGTGCATTTGTCAAACTATTTGGTCAATGAGAAGTGGTGTTCACTTGCTTGTTTCTCGAGGTCGCTACGACTAGTGGAAACAAAGTAGAAAGCCTTCGACAGAGTTTCTGGGTATGTACTGTATTGTAATATACGCCAATTCTGACTCTTGGTTATATCAAATTCATTATTTCCACCGAAATTGAACCCCTCACATATTTTCTTAACTCAATGTCAGATGAGTATTGAACACGAAGATCACAAGAATCCGATAAAGTTTTGCAGTTTACATCAGATCTTCGCCAAATATCCGGAGTTAACGACACTGAAGCGAATTCCTTCCCCCGTCACAATTCTGCAATTTGCTGCAAAATTGTCACGATGGGGAAGGCTCTATGCTTTGTGACATTTCATCAGCACACCTCTCCCCATTGTGCCCGAAAATTGTCTTCAGTATGTTACCTGACTTAACTAGATATTCGAATTGTCATCAGGCTCATTGCTGCTTGATTTGGTTGATCTTGAATATAAACGGAAGTAAGTCGGTATGCTTTCGCGTGTCTCGTAGATCAAAAGCACAAAGTGAAAAGATACATCACGAGTCTACTAGGCAACTTTACTAACTCTGATCCCAGCTTCGACCACATAGATATATATTAATACTTTTCAAAAGTTCAAATTTTTCGATAATAATAAAAGCAATCAGAACAGGTTCGTAGAGATTCTAAATTATACAGCCCTCACCGTCAAAAACCCAAACTTCATACTGCTGAACTTCGACTGGAACAACAAGCAATATTCTTGCTTCAGACATTTAGAGTCCTTCTAGACATGCAACTCTCTATTTGTGATTGAAAAAATTTCTTGTGAACCAATTCAAATGAGCGGTCAGACTTTCACAGTATCGAATTTATCTAATCTAAACCAATTAACGCCAACAAAGGTGACTGCGTTTATAAAGGACCATGGCGACTGTGGATGTAAATAGTAATGTCCTGGCCCCAGGGTTAAAATCAGTCGCAGCTGCCGCGTTTCCTACATTTTCAGTCTATTTATTGACATTTGTTTTAGTCAGTCATGCTACGATCAAATACGAAGTAACATACTGCTCGGTAGTGATGGGTGATGAATTTACTGTAATACAGTTGTCAATGGAGTTGAAGATTGAACGATCAATTCTTGGTTGTTTGCTCAAAATCAACTTCCCCAATTTTCGCGGAGGCATCAATACGACAGTCATCGTCTCATCGGTCGCTGTTCAGAAAGAAGAGTGAAACATCGTCAGAAGTAACAATGATTTATTATTGTAATATTTGTTTTCAGACCTTAGTTTGCTTAGTTCGCCTATTCCTTTTATATGTTGGTGTAACAATAAACAAATCTCAAGCGGCAGATCGGTGTTTTGGTTTTTGCGTCCGTTATAACTAAGCGTTTCCGAAATCTTCGAAGAACAGCGTGGGCCCGAGCGTAGCGAGAGCTGGGCATTAACGGTTTATGAGACGTGATTGACAGTTTCTGACGATAGAAACAGATCTGGCGGATTCAAACAGTTGGTGAAAGTTTGGATAGTCACCGTTCATTTTTCCTGGTGCCGGTCAAGTCCTCTTTGAACAAGCAATATCTGGAAGTTTTTTGGAATTGGGTCAAGTTCAACAATGCCTGGGTCAAAGAAGGGACAGAGTGTCTTGGATGCAAACAGGAAAGTAAGTCATGGTGACTTGTCTGTTAATTGTAACGATGTGTCTGATGTTAAGCATGACATGGTTGATGTTACTGTTTCGCCGTTCAGGGATAATAGGAACATCAAACTCCCTAAATTTGAACCACGGTGTTTTGATGGAAACCCGGCTGATTATTTACAATTTGTAAAGGAGTTTGAGATCATGTTGAGTGGTTTTTTATTAAATGATGAATTGAAATTGATGTATTTGATGAGATATTGCACTGGAGATGCTGCAAGAGCTATACAGTGCTGTAAGTTTATGAAGCCAAAAGAGGGCTACTACGAGGCTATGAGCATATTACGTCAAAGGTTTGGAAGACCTTCGATGATTGCAGGGAAATTATTCGAGGCTGTTAAGGGTAATGGTGGTCAATTACAGGATGACTCCCAGGCACTCACTGAGTTTTTAGATAATTTGCTAATTTACAAGAATGGAATGATTTCGATGAATCGCACGAGTGACCTCAACTCGAGTTTTATACTAGAAGTAATAGCAAGACGTCTACCTACTCGACTGCAAAGGAAGTGGGTGAAGATAAGCTCCCGTATGGAGGATGAGGGTATCGAGCCAAAGTTTGATGATATCCTGAAACTGGTAAATACTAGTGTCAATCAATCTATGAGCAAGTTCGCCAGTCTGTTAGATCTCACCCCTAGAATAGAGCAGTCTGAAGGTAAAACGCACTCATTGATGACGAATAGGCCTCAGAGAGGTGGATATCGAGAAGGCTCCATGATGTCTAGTAATGCATATAGACCTAGTGAGTGTAACAGGTTTCGTAGTACATCCTCAACAGATAAGTTACAAGATGCAAGACAAACACGGTTGTGGTTTACACGTGTGCAAGAGGTGCATACAGAAGTGAACTGTGAACCGGTGAGCAAGTTCAGTGATAAGCTAAATGTAAACTCCAGGCCTGACTCCGAATTGTGTGACGATAACGGTGCGGTGAAGAAGTCTGTAGTTGCAACTGGTAAGCCGTTGTTGAATAGAGTGTCACAGAATAGAGTTACTGCTTCAGAGTGGAGTTCTGACTCCACAAGTTTACAAGGTGTTACTAGTCAGAGTGAAGTTATAAAACCTTTTATGATTTGCGAGGAGGAACCAAAATTGTCTACTTCTGTTATTAAAGAGTTTGAAAATGATGAAGTTGACGGTAAAGTGAATATTCGTGATAATGATCATGATACTTCACAGTTGTCTTTGGTTGATCATTATGAGATGAGGGATATGCCTACTACTGCTAAGTTAAATAAAGGTTCTGTACAACTACAACGTGAAGTAGAATTGAACGCAGATGCAGTTCCAAAAGGTGTGCATACTTGTGAGACAGTCAGTGTAATTGATCAGCGTGTAGCCCACCTATCATCAGATGATAGTGCTAAACCTGAGCTGATAGTAAAAGACAGCAGTGGTGGTGGTCTTGCAGGTAGACAACTTTCTGAAAGTCGAGCAACAACAGCTTCTGATCCACCGCTAACTTCATCAACTGATATCAATCAGTCGTCGTTGGTGCTGTCATCCACAATGAAACAGACACCCATCAACTCAAGTATCTTGTGCAATGACTATGCTAGTATCAGTTCGTTTGAAAGGACGAATATCAATGGTCAGTTTAGTGTGGATAAGCCAAGTGTAAAGGAGAGAGTAATTGTTAAATTGACTTGCACGAATAAAGGCATTTCTAGTTTCAAGTTACTATTTGAATGTTATTATCTTTGGTGTAAATTACTCTGTTTCTACACTTGGTTGATGAGATATGTCGTGTGTTTGTTCGTCATCTATATTCTACGATACAATGACATGGGCGTGTTGCCGTTCAGATTTGAGGATATAGCTGATAGAAGGAAGTTAGCAAATGAACTCTGCGACGATTTTCCAACCTAGAGCGTCAACCTGAGAAGGGTTGTAGGCGTACTGCTGTAAGTCCTACAGTTCTTCAAGGGTAGTTTGTCGTGTCAGAATCCACAACATTTGATGTGTTGATTGTACATATGTTTGTGTTAAATAATTGTGTGAGTTCCAATTGATGTAATTGTTGGTTAATCTTGTTTGTGTCCGGACATTCCACAAATTACAATCGTCAACCTGAGAAGGGTTGTAGGCGTACTGGTGTAAGTCCTGCAATTCTTCAAAGGAATTCCACCAAGACATGATCGGCGAGGTTGTTTGTACTATTTGTATATACGTGTGGTGTGTCATATCAATTGGTGTATTTTGGATTCATTGTGTTTACTTGTTGTTTTCGTGTCTTGTTGTTATTGCGTAATTTTGTTAAAATTTTCGTCGTGATTATTTCTGAAGTTGTTTCGAGTCTTCTACATCCATGAATGAATTGATTGATGTTAAGGACAGCAGATGGGTCGTATACGCCGGGGAGGCTAAGCTATTGCTGAGAATGAAATGCACACGGAGATAATTGTTAGCTGCGGTCCGACACGCCGGGGAGAAAGAGTGTAAACGACTGAGGCTCGCATGCGTCACCGCTACTAGAACTGAGGCAGAATGAGTGACAAGCGATTTCAGTGATAATTGATAGTGAATAGAAAAGAGGATGCTTGAAGAGTATCATGAGGTGCTGCTATGGTCACGTTGCATTCTGCAAGAGTCATTCTAGTAAGTGGCGATTGTGTTGCAAGATGTCAAGAGGAGGTCTCTGTCTGGAGGCGCAGGTCGTCAGCGATGTGTGAGATTGTGCTGTGGGTATGCTTGTGGTGTGTTGGCTTTTCTGTTTGTTTTCCATTTCAGCTCTGTCCGTGTGACCCAGGTTCTCGCAATGGCATCCAAGTCAACGTGCATTGATCGTGAAGGAAAAAAGGGTTGGATCCCTTTTTTGCCGGGGAGTGTCAATGGAGTTGAAGATTGAACGATCAATTCTTGGTTGTTTGCTTAAAATCAACTTCCCCAATTTTCGCGGAGGCATCAATACGACAGTCATCGTCTCATCGGTCGCTGTTCAGAAAGAAGAGTGAAACATCGTCAGAAGTAACAATGATTTATTATTGTAATATTAGTTTTCAGACCTTAGTTTGCTTAGTTCGCCTATTCCTTTTATATGTTGGTGTAACAATAAACAAATCTCAAGCGGCAGATCGGTGTTTTGGTTTTTGCGTCCGTTATAACTAAGCGTTTCCGAAATCTTCGAAGAACAGCGTGGGCCCGAGCGCAGCGAGAGCTGGGCATTAACGGTTTATGAGACTTGATTGACAACATTATTTCGCATATCTTACTCTCCAACTCCCAACATCCTAATTTGACTTAAGAAGAACTATTATTCCACAGAAAAACAATCATGCTATTGGAAATAAGTGTATATGATAGAGAAGATTTGTAGCTCAGGTGGATGATTTTGATGTGGTTTTGTTCTCTGAGCTGGATGGTTAGTTTGCGAAGCTTTCATCACCTTACTGGGTGACATCTTCAGCGCATACTTCAATTTGAAGTGAGCTTCCTATGCAAGTAACCTAGAAGGTGTGAAAACACACACAAACAAGCAATCACTTCCAGGGTCACCAGGAGAGATGATTAATAAACTCGTGGAGAAATCTAAAAGCTCACTTCAAATTGAAGTATGCGCTGAAGATGTCACCCAGTAAGGTGATGAAAGCTTCGCAAACTAACCATCCAGCTCAGAGAACAAAACCACATCAAAATAAGTGTATATTGGGGTAAAGAATTTGAGAAGCGATGCGTGAATAACCAGATGCCGCACATAAACAACCAAATGCAACACAGAGGTGTGCGGAGTAGAGTTGTTGTTAAGGCCACCACACTGTATTTAGCGTTCATGGAAGCTCTAAAACAATGATTTTAGGGAATTGCTTACCACTAAACCGTTTCGGAACCATCTGCATTGTCAACAGAACCTAAAAATAGAGGCCTCGTGTCTACCACCAATATAACGGCTGACTCAGTAGTAGTTGTATGCAGAGAACTGGTGTTTATTAAGTTATATCCTTGTGAAAGTGACTTGTACAACGTCAGCAACATTGTATTGGAATTTCATCCAGGATAATTAAATGGGAGAGCTATTTGAACTCCTTCAGGGTTATTGTGAAACTAACGTGATAGAGATAAAGAGTTTAGCATGCTCGCCGACCCTACAACTTGTCCAAGGTTCGGTTCCTGGTCTACGCACACGTAATATCAATGGTCGAACTACTAAATTTGGGCTACCGATATCACTTGCTGGAAACTCCATACTTGTACAAAACTACTACGTGGAATCAAGCAAGCAGTGAATCAGAAGCTCGAATCATTTCCTAGTCGCTTGTTGAAATATTTTAAATAGTATGAAAAATGGCGATGAAACGTACAAATTTCCATTAAGATCTTGGACTAAGACATTTTATTGTATGATAACTCATTTTCTTTCGCGGTGCATTTAAAGGGTGCGTTACAAAACGACAACACGATTGGTTGTATAACTAGTCATAGTTATATATCAGTGGTTATTCACAAGGTTAGGTTTTTGGCTTTAGTCGGATTTTAATCAATGTTTCTGCCAGCGCCCGTACTAACTGTTCAAATTGTCTTTAATTAGCACCGGTTATCGATTGGTTAATTTTTGAGATATCCGAATAGAATGGCATATAACAGGTCTGTTATATGCCATTCTATATTGCTTGTATAAATGTGCTGGATTGTCTCGGTAAAGTCTTTTTGCAGTTTATTCTCACACGTGGATATTAGTGTGTAGGTGTTTATGTAACGTACATTAAAAAACGTAGCATCTGCTGGCAATATCATATCTCTTCTAATCTGCGGTTGTAGTGGCTTCATGAAGCGCATTTTAAATCTCAACCGCTCCCAGTAATATTATATTTGGATAGGTGGCAGTACTTCGACGTACACGCTATTATAATCACCTGCACACAGTTATAACTGTGTGCAGGTGATTTGCCAACACATTCTTGTCATTTTGGATGTAAACAGTAACAATATGTATCGTTCAAGGACGAATGTCGGCGAAGTCAAATTTTAATAGTCATCTCATTAGATGAATCGTGAACTAATTAAAAATACAGCTGATGTTACCAAGTCAAACTATTTCTTTTCCTCTGGATTCACACAAGTTCTATGAAAATCGAATGTTTGGTGACTGTTCGGACAATGGGTTAATTGTGGTTATGCATGTATATGCAGAGGAATCTTGGTAGGGTGACTGCCCATTTGGAAGGATGTTGATTTCGTGTTAGGTTTAAGAGCAGAGTCATAAATTGCAAGGAGTTTCAAAGTACCGTAATCCACACTCATATCTGTAGTAATTTTGCGACATTTAATGCAACTAAGTTGTAATTAGTTGACTTATCGCAGGTGGCTGCCATAGTTTAACGTCAGGCCAAATACGACTGCTACTGTTTTCAGTTTAACGAAATATAAGTAGAACTCCATCCTCTTAAATTCTTTATCTAACCCAAGCTTGTGACATGCATAATTAGCTAATCGTATCAAATATGCTGCATCATTAGACTGATTATATAACAGTTGAAACTTTATGTTCACCAATTTTGAATGTCAGGCCGGTTTCTTGACATTATTAAAGAAATGCATATATTTTGTAAAATGATAGTGCAGACTGTCTATACTGTTTACAGATCATTGTTATATAAGTCAATTACCCGTTTAAGTAGCGTATACAGTATACAAATCATCTTCAGATGAGCGTTTTTTTAGGATATCCATCTTACAGATGCCATCTCATTGTCTTAGATTAGTGTTAAATTTCAGAATAAGCTGTCTGATGATTCAAGAACAGCCTTGTCAACATAAATACAAATATCTTTTACTACATTACTCAACAATTTTGAAAATTACTATCGTGTGTATTGCAAAATGTGGTAACAAAGCTTTTTATAAACTTATGCTGCCTAACCGATTTATACAAATGGACGTGCGTACTATATTTTATTAGGTGGAATTCTATTTACTTATCAATCGGTTGCCTTGAACAGATATTTCATATCCACCTGTTAGTCACATTATGTCAGGAGTGGGTGTACTGTTAAGTTGTCTTGGCGGTAGTAGGCGGAGTGGGGTTGGAATCCAAGTCCTCTTGGCTGATGGTCAAGTAATTAACTGGGGTACGTTGGAGGACTGATACAACTGACTGAAATTGTCTCTTTTGTGTGTTTTCGGCTGTCCGAGGTAAGCACACAGTAAGCCATCAGATAAGAAAATTGTCCATGGCGACACTTCAGAATCCTACATTTGTCATGCGTAAACCTCAAAGCTAAAGATTAGAAAATCCACTAAGTTATGACTTCAAATCTCACTTTGGATAATGAGATCGGTAAACGTGATTCTAGGGTTATTTTCAAGCGCTGGTTTGTAGGATAAAACTGAGCTGACATCAGAACCATTGGATGACTGGAATTTCTGGACAATTGTTTTGGTCGGGTTTTGGACTGCTTAGTATGCTGTGCCACCATCCCACCAATGATCAGACCAAGCACTGTCCCAACAGTGCTTGTATACTCTTTAAGGTATTTTATAAAGCGTAAGTCATGAGTTAGTTGCATGTGTTGTACCATGGTTTATATAACTGCTGTTAAGCTGCCGGGACACAATCCACACACTTGTTATAAAGGATCTACTTTGAATGTGTAAATTGCAGCTGAATCCACAAGGCCACGTTAAAATGTCTGCTTCCTTATGAAATCTTACAGTTGCTTAAAATTCATTTTAAATTCTGGTTAACCTACTGGTCTTTTTATTCATGTTGGTAGTAAATCAAAGTTTTTTATAGTCTACGCACATATCAAACAAATATGTTGTATCCGTAGATAAGGGAACAAGTTTCCAATAATTAATTTAACTGCAGTAAATCTCACCCTCACATTATGGTTTTCTGCAGTTCCTTATAGAATTCAGATGACCAGTTATTAGTTGTTTTGAAGCAGTTAAAGCCAGTAATTAGAAAGAATCACAAAAGGAGTATAATGCAGTCACTTCACATGTTTACTTAATGTTACTGGCCATTTAAATCTCCTTATGGTATGGTACAATTGCGAATAAAATAGTTGTAAGGTTTGTTCCAAGTTCCCATTGAAGTATTTTGATAAACTCAGATTCCACAGTACAATGTAAGTATCTTTAACCACTTATTTTCATGATGCTTAGAATTCGTACTATCTGTGGTTAGATAATATCATTGTTGTATATTTGATGAAATAATCATAAAAAGCTTTCACTTTTGTTCCTCTTAGTGAAGTCATTAATTATGGGGAAATCCTCCCGCGATAAGCGTGATGTCTACTATAGGCTAGCCAAAGAAGAAGGATGGAGAGCTCGTAGTGCATATAAACTTTTGCAAATTGATCAGGAGTACAATATTTTGACCACTTCTGGTAAGTTGATTTTACAGTAACTTTATCATAGTGATCATATTTGATTCATTCTCGTATTCCTAAGGAGTTGCGCAAAAAGAAATTCAGGAGAATTTTACGTCTGTTCATTAAATGCATATTAAACCATTTTTATCCTGCTGCAGTAAATAACAAAATTAACAGTGGCACTGATAGTTGTAGTGTTATTAGAACACAATTTATAGTAGTTTGTCATATATCTTACTCTGTCAATGAACATTGTGTCACGTATTACGTGGAAGAGTCCAATTGCAAGTGACTGTAATTTAGTAAGAGCTTTCAAAAAACTCCGTACGTATTCTGTATGCCGTGATTTTTTAATTTTTCCTAACTTCATTTGCATAGATAGATACTGTTGTGTTTGACAAGTCATTATCAAATAATGAGAGCCATATCACAAAAATTATTCTATTATTGAATTGTACTCAACCATTTCACTAATATAGAAAAAATCCCCATTTCGGCATTTAAACAACAGAAAGATTGAAAGAGATTAATTAAAAAGTAAATATTTCTTTGCTCAATTTTACTAGTACTCAATTTCTGTCATATCAGAATTTCATATCGCTCACCTTATATGTTGTATGACTTGAAGTGTGTCCTGTGTAAAGTGTGACATGTGTTACGCATGCACGTCTAAGCATCGCCTTCCTCGACCGACGGGCAATGTTAGCTGACATAGTGTCAGGCTGGAAAAGAGCCAGTAGTGATCAAACTGAAATATGGCTTCATCAGTCAATAAAAACCCGTAACAGTTAGTTTAAGTTACGTAGGAAGCTGTAGACTTCCTGTTTGGGGTTCTCGGGATGATAAGAACCATTGAAAGCTGGAGACAATTGATGATATGGCTCAAAATCGTCCTCAATATCTGGCGCAGATGGATCCACTCCTTTTGATTTATCATTTTCAATAGAACTTCACTGTTTGTCCACATCACTATTATATTTGCCTTACACTTCTGTTTTGAATCTGTCGTTGCTATCTTCCCTTGGTTTGTGTGCTATATGGAGTGTGGTGACTCGAACTGCTGCACATCGGTGCAAAGTCCTATTTCGAAATCAGTCAGTTAGCCTAAAGCCGACATAAAAGTGTAAACTGTCCTTATGGAGTTTGGAATTGTCAGCGGTTGGAACACTGTAAGTGATTTGTAACATTATGGCTTTATTAGCTTAAGATTCGGAAAACAGTCTTAATGTACCTTTTCTCTGGGTTCATTTCTTTCATTTGAGGATACGATTAATATATTGGTGAAGTAATCGTTTCTTGCAAGCTGTTTAACAGTTTTGATGCGACTAATTACTTACATTGTCTCATCACAACAGATTATTTACAAGCCTGAAATATTATCATGTACTTACTTGAAGTATCAACATCAAGTGTAAAGCAGACAGCCGGAAAGTATACTCTTTTTCTAGAGTAATCTGCTTTCATTACTATAATCAAAGTGATGGTCACAGTTCTATTATTTATTAAGGATAGTAGAAATCCCTTGTAAAAAAAATGAAACCAATTTAATCTATTCAGTAATCAAAATAAATCATGAATGTCATTTGGTGAATTTGTATCAATATCTCTGCTATGTCTTTATTCAGAATTTCATGGCAATTAACATACCATACTTTCACCATTTTAAGATCATGTCCATGTGGAACGAGTGGTCGATTTATGTGCTGCACCTGGTAGCTGGTCCCAAGTACTATCGAAGATTTTATGGAAACCAAAATCTCCAGAAGCCCAGAAATCTGTATAACACTTTGAAAGTTTATTTTGAATATATCTTTGTGTAGGTGAAAATTGTAGCTGTCGATTTGCAAGCAATGGCGCCAATACCAGGAGTGGTTCAAATTCAAGGTGATATTACTAGTCAAGATACTGCCCAACAAATTATCAGACACTTTGATGGTAAATTAGCTCAGCTTGTTGTTTGTGATGGTGCTCCAGATGGTAAGTTGATCTTAATGCCAAAACTTTGTTATTTGGTGGATACTTTATTTCAACTGTCCCTAAGTCTCTTTGTTAGCACCATTAACAATCATCATATCACTAGCTTGCTAAGCAGGTGTGGATTCGAATTATGTAGAATGTGGTGGTAGTGGTGGTTTATATGGCTATCTGGATAGAGACCATTGGGTATCATTTAGGTCTTCATGTTCGATAACGTATGTGACCCCACTTCACACTTATTCATTTGGCGATCAATGCCTTCAAGTATAAAATGTGCCTTGCACCGTTGGAAGTGACAAACTGGTTACTGTATCTAGCCTATTGTGTGATGAATGTGATTTTTATAGGTATGTCGAAAACTGGAACATAATACACCAGTCTAGTTCACTTCTGGTGCGTTGCAATGTCATTGCGATCGTCACAGGTGGCGTTTGTAACGCGTCAATTCCGAATGTTTCATCATCACTGTCTGTGTAGAATCGTCTTGGTCTGTTTTTAGCACTAAGTAATTATCACATCAGTATTGCCTTTCAATAAAAGGTTGAAGGTAGTTAACCCATCATAGGTCTCTGTGGTTCATATTATATTTATTCATTATTACGATATGTCGATGCATCACTGCTCTGAACGGGGTCTTGAAGTCCATACAACTCAGTCGTTCTAGACGTTATCAGACATGTCTAAGATTGGAAATCACTGTCGACTATGCTGTCGTTTCCGTGTCTTGACGATTACTAGAAGTAATTGTTGGAGTAATTAACGCTGTTTCGACTGTATTCTTGTTTCATTCTTAACTTTTCCCCAAGATTGTTCTTCTGTAGTTTTGCATGGAGGATTTCATCATGAGCTGACATCGGTAGTTCTCTAACCGATGTCAGCCCATGATGAAATCCTCCATGCAATCACAAAAATCCCTAAAAAACTAGTACTTCTGTAGTTTTGTTTTGGGCGTATCTTGATACCCATTTTGAAGTAACTTTATGTTTGAATAAATTAGTACTGGATTTTCTTTCCATTTCACTATTGTGTGTAATTTCTTTCTTAAATATTTGCATCATTTAAAGGGAAAATTATACGCGATTAACACTATACCCATTCGTATTCAAATAATTTTAAATCTTCCAGTGACAGGTTTACACGATTTAGATGAATATGTTCAATCACATCTTATTTTGGCTGCTATAACGATCTGTTCAAGGGTGTTGGAAATCGGTGGCACTTTTGTAGCTAAAGTTTTTCGTGGACGTGACTCTGGCCTGTTAGCCTCTCAACTTCGATGTTTATTTTCGGGTCAAGTCAGTTTCGCTAAACCACGAGCCAGCAGAAATTCTAGTCTAGAATCGTTTATTGTATGTCGGGGTTTTGTGGGTCCTCGTTTACGGACAGATTTAAAATCGTCTCTACTAACTTCTGAGGAACATTCTGATAGTGATAATTTACTATTATTATGGTATGACAAGGATAACTTCGAAGATGTAAGTTGGTGTGTTAACTTTCATCGAATATAGCAATTTGTTCAAAGATATTGTATTTACTTAAACAGTAATCCACTAGTATAAGACAAATAGGAAGGCGTAGGTCGCCCGGCTCAACTTCTTCAAGATACTGGAGGCCAGTGGTTGAATGTGCTTACAAATATACTTTAATGTCGTTCACAATGGTTGCCATAAAGATGCTAAAAACTGGAAAAGCAACAGGACCAGACGGAATCCCCATAGAAGCACTCAAAAGGGACCCAGAAACATTAGTGACTTGATGAAACAACTACAGGAGAAGGTGTGGAAAGCAGGGAAGGTGTCTGCGGATTGAAGGAAAGGCTAAATATTCAAGCTGCCAAAGAAAGGAGACTTAAGTCAATGCAAGAATTGGCGCGGAATTATGCTCCTGTTCATCCTAAGCAAAATACCAAGCTGCATCGTCCTGGAGAGAATTAAACACGCCTTGGACGAAAAACCTCGACTGGAACAGGCTGGATTCAGGAGAAACAAGTCATGTATTGATCAAATCGCCACTCTACGGATCATCATTGAATAGGGCTTGGAATAGCAGCTAGCTTTCTATCTCAACTTCATTGATTTTGAAAAGGCTTTCGACAGCGTTGGTCGAGCGGTGATTTGGGAACTACTTTGCTACTGTGGGCTGCTGCCAACAATTATACACCTCATTCAACAGTTTTACGATAGTGCTGCATGCCAAGTAACCGACAACGGAAAACTCACGGAATCCTTCGAAGTTAAAACGGGAGTAAGACAATGATTTTCATGGTTGTGTTAGACTGGATAAAGAGACAGAGAGCAGGCCGGTCAACGAGGAGACAGGCATAAAATTGAGGATCTGGACTTCGCTGATGACATATGTCTGATTTCCCACGAACTGGAAGATATGCAAGGGAAAAGCAACAAGTCGGCAGAAGAAGCATCAAAGATAGGAAGGCTTTCAGATGAACACAGAGAAAAGAGAGGTGATGAAGATTCTTGGCCAACAGCAACAGACAACAATCAGCATAAATGGGAAGAATCTGAAAGAAGCAACCGGCTTTACCTACTTACCTGGGGAGCATCTTTCCAACTACAGGCAGAACTGATGAAGATATCAAAGCAAGACAAGCTTTCATTTCTCTCAAGTCCGTGTGGAGATCAGCAGCACTTAGCATGAAAAATAAGATGTGGACTTCCGACTCCAATGTGAATTCAATGCTACTACACGGATCAGAGACTTGGCGCGTCACGAAGGGCTGACTGACTGGTTTCAACATAGAAATTTGCTCCGGTGTGCAGCAGTTCGAGTCACCACACTTCACGAAGGACAATTCGAACAAATTACTAACCTTCATCAACAGCTGTCTTTGCTCAATACTCAAGATCAGATGGCCGGTCAGAAAAAATCAGCAACAGGGATCTCTGGGAGCGACCCAAACCATCAGAAACTGATTATGCAACAAATATGCCTGAAGAAATGGAGGTGGGTTGGCTATACTCTGAGAAAGCCATCAAGTGACATCCATCACACGCCAGGCCATTGCTCGAGAGGAACCCGAACGGGAAGCTGCGAGTTGGTCGTCAGTGCGAGGGTGGGGTGACATGGAGGTGGTCATGTGAAGAGGAGATGAAAGCATGTGGACAGACCCGGAGCCAGGTGAAAACGTTGGGAAAGAACCGGACGCAATGGAAACGTGCGGCTGAAGCCCTGTGTTCCTCTAGGAAATAAAGGAAACAATAAATAATAAAGATACAATTCACTTTTTTATTCTTTGGATATTTATGAGTTTAAACCTTTTACAGGTTTATTCTTGTGTGTCATTCTAACGTTCATCACGTTTTGTTTTTATAACATTGCTGTTGGATTTTATATAGGTTCTAAAAAAGGTGCAGATTAACTATGTTTACTAAAATCGTTTAGCCAGATGGTTACCTACTCATGTAAGTGAATCCGCTAACTTGTTAATTAGTTGATTAGTCAGAACTCATTTACGCTAATCACATTATGTATATATAGCGGGCTATCGGCTACATACAGTGTGAGGGCTGACGATACAAATTAGCTGCTTAGGTTGGAATAGGTGGAATGAAATTCGAATGATTCACTGACACACAAGTGAAAGGGGTCTTCTGCCTTACTGGATGAATGTTGCGTAGCTGAATCACTTATGCATGCTATCATCTTACAAGATGGATTAAGGTTGTGGTATTTGGTTACTCCTTTCTTTGACAATCCATAAAAATGTGTCATTATAATAATAATATACTTACATAATGTTTTATATACTAAGATAATTAGTAGCGTTTCCCGATTTGTGTATTTATTATTTCTCAGCAAGTATTTTCATCCTGTTGTCGATATTCGCAGTTCATTTTGTCTAGTTTCGGCTTGTGGAAACATTGTAGCAATAAATCCAATCAATAACCACTTACCTATCAAGTAAATTCATGAGAACTCAGTATCTTAAATAACATACTAGTCTGTCAGTGTAAAGTGTCATTTTTTCATTTCATTTACCAACAATTCACACTGCCTAAGATGTTAACTTTTTCCGTAATTACACAACAATACATATGTTATCTATTTAAGACATTGAAACAAAGATACACCGAAAAATATCCTGCAAACCTATGGCATATAATAGGTGTTTTAAATTGGGCGTGATGACCAGTGAGTTGTTTGTAGTCTGACTGTATTCGCAACTTGTTTTTATACACAAAGACTAAGCTGCATAAATTTACGACTAGAAAACTAGATTCTGCTTCAAGTAGCCAATCTACATTACTCCACAAAGAAAAGAACTCTCATTACACACCATATAGAATGGGATACCGTATTCATATTCATAAAAACAGTCATCTTCACATCTGTATTCCTTCAGAAATTTTTGCAGTTGGTGGGTACAAATCACATCATATCAGCTTACAAATTAATCATGTATTCCAGGTTTAGCCACATGAATTAGCTGACTAATATAGTATCTAAAGTCTTAGGCTCAATAATCATGCGTAGACTAAGTGGTGCTCGGGAGGCACAAACACGAGAGAGCCAGGCAGGCTTTAGACCAGGAAGAGGGTGTATTGATCATATCTTCACCCTCCGACAGATTCTAGAACATAGGCATTCCTACCGGCGTCCAACAGTCATTATATTTCTTGACCTAAAGGCAGCATTCGACTCTGTCGATAGAGAAGTTCTCTGGAGATGCTTGGCTGTAAAGGGAATTCCGAGAAAATATATTGCACTGATTAAGGCACTCTACTCGTACTCATACAGCCAGGTGAGAGCTTACGGCGAGCTGTCATCTGAACTGATGACGACCAGTGGTGTCCGTCAAGGATGCCCATTATCTCCTTTTCTATTCAACTTCATCATAGATGTGTTAATGGACTTAACCCTAGGTGACTTCAGCGACTCAGGATTGACTTGCTACCGGGGAATAATCTCGTTGACTTGGAATATGCAGACGATATAGTCCTTCTAGGCGAAGACGCTGACGAAATGCAGAGTCTTCTAAACACCTTGAGCCGCAATCTACGAATGTTTGGCATGCCATTCGCTCCCGCCAAATGCAAGATGATGTTACAGGACTGGACTACATCGACGCCTAGTTTAAAAATAGGAAGTGAAGTGGTAGAGCACGTTGACCGCTTCACTTATTTGGGAAGTACCATCAGCCCCAACGGGTTGATCTCTGACGAAATCTCAGCACGAATACAAGGGGCTCGTTTCGCATTTGTTAGTTTACGCCGACTCTGGCGTAGACGAGATGTTCGACTATCGACCAAAGGGCGGGTGTACTGCTCATCAGTCCGCTCCGTCCTCCTTTATGGCCAGCTGTGAGACCTGGCCACTGAGAGTGGAAGACATGAAAAGATTAGCTGTCTTTGATCATAGGTGCCTGCGCTCTATTTCCCGTGTAAAGTGGCATAATAAGGTGAGCAACATGGAGGTTAGGCGTAGAGTTCTAGGTAAACAGGGGAAATCAATCGACGAAGTCGTGAAGCTACAAAGACTGAGATGGTTAGGACATGTGTTACGTATGCCAAGCCATCGCCTCCCTCGACGAGCAATGTTAGCGGATATAGGGTCAGGCTGGAAAAAAGCTAGCGGCGGTCAAACAAAAACTTGGCATCAGTCAATGAAATCCACAACAGTTGGTCTAAGCCACGTAGGAAGGTGTAGACTTCCAGGCTGGGGTCCTTGGGACGGTAAAAATCTATGGTTGGAAACAATTGGTGACATGGCTCAAAATCGTTCTCAGTGGCGCAGATGCATCCACTCCCTGTGACTTATGATCTTCAATGAAACTGTTTTGTTTTTCTTTATTACTCCTTTGTCTCACACCTCTGCTCACTGTTTCTATTATGCTTTTCTTGTACTTTCTTCTCTTGCTTCGCGTGCTACACGGAATGTGGCGACTTGAACTTCCGCACATTTGTGCAAAGTTCTATGTCGAAAACAGACAGACAGACACATGAAACCCTACATTTAACCTTAATTTTTCTTATCCATTACTTTTGTTTCGCATTGATATGTATAATTTCGATAGTGGTTATTTTCTAATAACTAATGAATGCCTTCATTACTTCTGAACTGAATTGAATGTTCAGTGTAGAACTTTATACGAAAGGGCAGCACTTTAGTTTGCCACATTTGATTTGATTAAAGCACATATACTTTATACTGATTATTAGACAAGTCTTTTTGCCTTATCCTTCAATCTCCTTACAAATACATCAATTTAACATTCATCTAACCAAGAATGAATACTTCGATTTAATCTACATATATTTAAAAAGTGTGTCGGTTAGTTGGCGAGACTCTATAGTCGTCGAACCGATAGAAAGAATATTTATTCATTTTGAAGACTTTTTGCTTGGTAGTTTGAGTTAGTTTACGATATACTATAGGATATTTATCCCTCTGCATTTTCCCTATCACTTTTTTGATTATTCTAATGAGTGTGCATTGACCTAATCTTCAGTTGCTAACAGGTTGTGAAACACACGGCTAACTACTTGTCAGTTTCCTACATTTACTATATTGTATGCACAATTTCCCCTTTACAAGTTTGAAAAGAGCAAGACTAAGCATTGAAACAGAATAACATGAATTCATTTCATTTCACCGGTTCACTTCATCCACACACACACACACACACACACACACAAAACCTGTAACTGATATTTATTACACCGCATTGTAACCAGCTTTTTAATATACTTACTTTAGTTTGTTAGAAGTCAGTCATAGCAAATACAAAAAATTGTTCGACATGACGTCCTAATAATATGCTACATAAAGATTTCACAAATGTGTACAAATATATTTTATCAGAAATAAATTTGTTTTGAGGATAGGAGAATGCATGTAATGTGAAAAGTTGCGTTGATGCGGCCTGTCCTACCAATAGTCGATCAGACTTTCCACAGGGCTGCTTGCCGGTTACTTGAAAACTTGTAGCATATACACATCTATAACTGATCAAACATACCGAAGGATTCTATTCGAAAAGCAGTTGCTGGTGTTCACTACACTGTAAATCAGTTTATGTTTCTTTTCTAAGAGTAACTACCGTCCATTATGAAGTGCATTCAACCCTTCGCTACCTGTGTTTGCTTTATCTATCTTCTTACAGGTTGATTCGTCTCAACAGGCTCTGTTACCATTCATTGCGTGTGGTGACTTAAGAGGTTTCGATTCTGATGTCACGTATACACTGGACCCAGAACACGTGGTTAAGCCTCCAGTACAAGATCCTCTTGATCCTGCGTACTCAGAGGTTTGTAGACGTGGTCGTTCAAATCAATCTAATAATTTAAATATTCAATCTTCAAACTTGGAAACTGACAAAATTGGTAAATTTTCAGAACGTTTACAGAAATTAACGTTTTCTACAAGCGAATGATTTTCAACTCCTCCTCTCGACTCTGTCACTATTTAATGATTTCGATTCAGTCTTGTCTATTTTTTGATATTAATAAATCAAATATATCTAGTCTTCAGTTCTCCTTTCTTTTTTGCTGCTGATGTCTGTTGTTGTCGTTGTTTTGGTTAACAGTTTGTCATCGTTTTTTTCTACTTCTGAAAACCGTCGTCATTCCATTCGGTCCCTTATACAGTTTGGTGACGCAGTTTCTTATCAGTCCTTAACTGTGTATGAGGCATCTATCGCCCTGTTGTGCACTTTCCTGGCACCAAAATAAATTTGGCGCTAAGATAAATTGAATGCACTAAATGAACTTCTACCTCGACTCCGAGTGCTCAAAGTCTTTCAAGTTTTCTCTGAATGGTGACTACGCGTTTCAGCAGGCTTTGAAATCATTATGTACTTTCCTGTTAAGATACATGTGTAGAGAATATCTATTTCAACCACACTATTCAGACAATACCCATGAAATAATCTTGACATATTTATTTTATTTAAATATCCTGTTTTCCAGAACATATTCCTAAGTAACTGAGTCGTTTTGATTCATATCTTCTTATCAGTGCATAACGGCACAAAAGGTACTGATTCCGTGTGGGATCAGTAAGGCTAGTAAAGTGTTACATATCAAAAACACATCCAGTGCATTACGATCGATTCATTTCACAATAAACATGGACTTTGAGTTCTACGTATTAAACTACTCACATAGTTTGTTTCATTGTAACTTAAATTCACCACTTCTACAGAAAGAGTGATTTGGGTTGTGACGTGACTATTGTCCCCAGGAACAGAGACTCTTGGACGTCCTACCATATCAGATGGGTTGGTTAAACTACAAGCAGTTGCTGTCATAGTGTGAATTACTTAAGATTTAGTAGTTTTTGGGGATCAAGATGTATTGTCGGAGAAAAGTAGTGAGACAAGTAAAGTATGTCCCTGTGATCAATTGCAATATAAGTTTACTACTTCGCCCCTCTAGAGCGGGAGATATTGCATCCTAGTATTTTTGTAGCCGACAATAACCTCCTTTTATCTGGTGAATGTCTTTAATTGGTTCGCTTGTGACTAACTTCAGATAGATATTTCATCAACCACGGAACTGATGTATGTCAACCATTTGTCACTTTATGATCACTCTTCATTTTTCTCACTTAGAGATTCACATCACTCTCTAAATTCTCTCCTACAGCCTTTTTGGATGGTTTGAGCTCATGGTGCAGCAGACTCTATCTCTAAAATCCATCCTACAAACTGTCGTATTCTGTGCCAAGTCGTAAAGCATCATTAGTCAGCTGGTGAACATGTGTTTGTGGTGTTTCAGTTAACCAGAATAGTCAAATTATGTACCTCACCTCTGGAATGTCTGAAACCAATGATAGTCGGTTCTTGTGGTCCTGTGTGTTAGACACACCTCAAAGTCACGGAGTAGAAAGTGTACTGGGTGAATTAGTTTCGGTTGACAGTCGCATGTGTACTATACTGCGGTACTTTTAAAACTAAGAAGGCTTGTCACAGACTCATATGTCTCTCCCCACTTTCCCTTTACAATCTGACTAGCTGCAGCTTAGATTCATCAAATCAGATGTTCCACAGACAGTATATCGTCTGTGATAAAAAAACCAGACATGCTAAAGCGTTGATCATAGTGATTGAAGAGGCAGGTGGTCCTATATTACAACGGCCAAGCAATGTAGAAGTTAACCCGAAATTTCAAGTTTGCACACACCTTCAAGGCACTTATAGAGGAAGACGTAGTAAATGCGATTATACTACAGTAAACGAACATGAGTGGGTGTAAGGTTAATTACATAAAAACTAGTGAGGGTTTTCGGAGTCTGGAAGATGACAAGGAGTGAATCTGTATACACCATTGAGAACACGTATCCTAATCACCTCAATCTGTCGAGCTTTACAACCATTTCGATTCACTTTCCTACTTACCTAAGGCTACATCTAACTTCATGTCACAACGCATCTAAGTAATCCCTAAACAGAACCCTATATGACTGTCAATGGTGAACCATCACTCCAGTTGACCTCTAAAAAAAGGAATTATAGACGTTGAACGTCGACAGCTTGCATGACCCCGGTTGCCTATAATTTTTCTTATTACGTTTACAATAGTTAGGTAGTTGTTTCAATTTTATAAGTAATATTTCCAGTATATCAGAAATATAAACACCAGTAAAATCTATTGATTGGAAATTGACAATGACTGAATAGAGGAACTACAGTTAATCCACTTTTCTCATCCTGGAAGGTAAATTTTGTTGACTGTTGTTCAGCACATATCATGATAAGTTGAAACTGTAGCAGGTCATCGTGTTTTACTAAGTTGTTTGGGCACTTGGCTTCTGTCACAGTTCACCAAAGCTCAAGTATAGATTAAACATGACACGTTGGATTTTACTAAATTCGACGATTATACAAATCGGTAACCGTAAATAATGTTGTATGACTTCATACTACGTGAAATAAAAGTTTCGATTATAAAATTATACTTCGCTGTACTACATTGCCTATGTTCTCTGCCTACATTTACTTGACTTCTATTTTTTATGGAAAGCGTCTGCGTTAACTAATACTCTACTGTGTTCTCTCCTGTCTTCTTTCCGTGTGTAGATGGTTACTCAATCTGAGCAGTTGATCCAATCGTCTGAAAACAAGACAGAATTGGAAAAGTATCAACCGTCGTCTGGGGAAATATCCAAAACCGTTCTTATCTCTCTGTTCTACTTGGTTGTGACTATTGTTATCGGAGTGCCTTTATGGTGGAAAACAACTACACCATATCATGCCCATCTACCTTACTCTAAGATTAGTGAGTTAAGCTCACGACCAATTGAAATCACTGTTCCAGTGAGTGTGTAAAATGTGTTTTTCATTACTGCTTTGATCTAATTTATTTATTTTCAAAATACTTCTGATACTGCTTTTCGTCTAATCTGACCGAATGATGTCTATTGCACATTTAGTGAAAAGGGCTGTAAAGAGATTGCTGTCTTCATGGTGAGACGCCAAATGAAAATGCATCCATCACCTTCTTGATGACATTGAATTCAACAGTCTACTTAAAATTATCAAGTGATACTGAGTTGAAATCAGACGGAATAAAACTTGTTCTCCCACCACCTTCACTTTCAGTGTTGTGGGAAATGAAAGCAACAAGTCTAAAGGAAGACTGTGACATCAATAGAATCTCAGGCCAGGAGGAATAGAGTGATAGTTCTAAATCTAAATATGACAGCGTGGAGCGTAATGTCCACTAAGAATCGGTGTTATACATGCAGGAGTCTTATGTCTTGGGATACTATGAACTATCTCGGCGTCAGAAACCAGATAGGAACTTTCATCCAACCGATTGTACATGGAGTAGACTGAACATGGGACTTTGGAGTTACAAGACACACTTCACGAGGAGAAATACAAAGAATGCATAGAGTAGGTAATATCATCGATGTAGTACCTCCAAGTGAAACGAGTGGTTCGGAGAGAGTTGGAAGGATGGAATTTCAAAAGTTATAAAGATGGTTTTTCTGAAAAGTAGAAAATAGTCATACTTCGTATGGACTAAGCGCCTGTTGACAATTCTCCTTTAGGCCTTGTTTCCAGTGAACGTCATGTTATTCTATCATGCTATTCTATTGCGACAGGTGCACATTTCAAAGAAGGTGTGGACAGAGTTGATACAGGTTAATGCAGTTATGTGTGACCACCATCATTCACACCATAGGACTACGAGGTTGGGTAAACGAAGACCACTTATTGTTACGAATCAATTTCTGAATATAATTCTCTTCGACATGCAACAGTAGGTATTGTCCCGTCCAAAGTGACACGTTTACCCTCATTCACGTTACTCGAAGTTGACTTATTGTGAATTGAGTTTGTGTGTGTGTGTGTGTGTGCAAGTCTGTGTGTTGTGAAGCAAATTATGCTCGCCTCCATTTTGAAACAAGAGTAACAGGTCTCCTTTCATCGCACATATTGAAAAGACAACTCGCTCACACTTATCATCATATTTTCTCTATAGGTCAGGATAGTTAATTTTCATGCTAAACTAAATGATGGTGATATCAGTGGAATCAGTGACATGTTCACTCAATTCAATATGGAACAGTTGGACAAAGTGAATACAGATGTTACTGAAAAATTGTACATTAATTATCGTGTTAAAACAGAACAAGCTGGTCAATCAGAAATGGAGGCATGCACACATTCCCTTTCAATGAGTAATAATATTGACGAGTTTTCGTCTCACTTTGAAAAGGATTTAATCAATTACTTAAGGTAAGTTATAGCCACAGTTGATATTCATTGTTGTGCAAGTTTCATGTAGAAGTGCAAATCGATTAGGTTTATTCACATGAATGGAATACGTAAGTCAAGCAAAAACAATCAACAAACTGAGTGGCTTAGTTAGAATACGTTGAGTTAAGTGAGAAAGGCCTATCTAGTTTCAACGGAATCGATGTTGATGAGACGGTTCGCTTGATTAGCTAGTTCGGGATCGTGTATGAACAACCACTCAGTGCAGTGTGATGGAGTGACATGTTGACGTTGTTTGACTGAGTGGCTGCACAACATGACTGGATCCTTAATGACAGCCGCTTATGTAGTATTGGGTTAGAAAGCCTGGTCAGATCAAGAGGCGACTGGCTACAGAAGTGCTATCGTTTCCCCATTTCAGCCTATGTTCATACGGACTTCACGCGTGATGCAAGCACCAGAAACTGAATAAGCTCAATGGAATGCAGTCAAAAGACAACACTAAGTTATCTGATTCTTGGTGAGAACTTGGTCTCACACACAAGGAACTCCTTTCAGTGGTGTATTTTGATACTAGTTGGACTTCTAGCGAGTAATTGTGACTGAGTCGAGTGTGAAGATGAATACTGATGATATTGGATGGCGGCTGTGCTGTATATCATAAACTGATAGATGTCAGAATTCACGGGTCAACGGGGTGGTAAATTTTTGACTTGAGTGCTTTTGGACTCTACCGCTTCGAAAAGTATAAACGAACACTAGTAAATAAAGTTGCATCATACCTTGAGGTTGCATCGGATTTCCCTGTTCTGTTTCATTTCAATGTTTGTTGGATAGAAATTGCACTGGTTTGGTAGAATTACATACTACTTACAACTCGGTGGTGCTCTCTACGTGCGACATTCATCGACACAGCACCTGGTAGTAGGGGGGAACTTTACCAGTTGCAAGTACTTTTAAGTCTGTGAAACAGTCAACGAATCGGACGTTATACTTGTTAACAACCCTCACACATGTCTGAATACGCTGAGAAGGGATTCGATACTGCCCAAAACGCTGCAGAAGTCCAAGGACTAATACACCAAAATGTGGACATGCATCGTAAGGCTGTCTGGGCACATCGTTGATGTTTTATGAACCTGTGTAGTTGTCTAATTGTTGTTGTGAGGATAACTTGTGCAATTTCTAGTCGTCGAACTTCATTGAGTTCATATTTCTCCCATGCCTATAAAATATGTTCTTTTCCACCTGAATGTATCAGACGGTGGATATTTTAATGTTGATAGACTTTAGGATCATTTCAAACAATGCGAAGAATGTTTTTCAATAATTAATTGCTTTCGTCTTAAAGAGTCATGGTCTGTCCCTCGTAACATCGTTGCTAATTTATCCTCGCCTACATTTCCTTACTGTTCGTCGTTTGTTAGTTCTTTAATTGATCTGTAAATGTGAGGTGGTAGTCGGTGTATGAAGTCATTCTGTGACTTGTAGGATAGTTTCATTTAACTAGTGTATCATGATGTTTTCGCTCTGGTCTGAGAGGTTTTGTTACTCAACGGCTTAGGACATTATCAGATTTTCTTCGTTATCAAAATCCATTGGTGATTATTCTGCAGTCGTTTTCTTCCTTGCAACAGTGAAAGTATTACAAAGTGATAAATGGCTCTTTGGATGAAGTTAATCGGAATGCTTGTCTCTTAAGTATCTTCTTTCTTAACTCTACTTTCTCCTGAATCTTTTTGAATAGTCGTTAATATTTTTCTGCTATCTGCTCAACGAGTTCATTTCTGACACCAGACATAAAACGAGAATGAATCTTTCCAAATCGGTTGGTTTCCCAGTCTGAAGTTGGTGTAACGGGATTCCAACTAGGGATCCATTGAATGAAAGCTGAGTGTTCGAACCAAGGAGCCACTTTTCCACTTGTCATAGTTGTGCATCCTAGACTGTACGCTTCTGTGTAAGTCGTCATGACGCTATAGAATTTAAGTTTCTTTTCGAACTCTAGTCTAATTGATCTCTTTGTCAAACAAAACACTACAGCACTGCCTTTTGTAGCGAAAATGTTTTTCTTTTGATTTCTAGCAGTGATAATCTCATCCAACAGGGGAATACGTCTTCTGTCTATCACTTCATATTGTTACCTTTGGTCGGTAATGATTTTCTATTCAATGGGAAGGAGTTTAATGGCTACTCTGAGATGCAACCATTTTCGGTGATTCGAAGCTCAATTAACTTGAATCTAATCTACGTGTTTATTCCATCCACAATGTTGTTGTCGTCGAGTGAGAAGAATAATGCAGAGACGACAAAATTAGTAACACTGCATATTAAATATTTATTGGATGGTGTTTTGATACAAGCAAATCATCTGAAAGTGAGTATATCTTGCTATTGTATTCATTCATTCATTCATTCATTCTTGTCCTAATCACCCGGAACAGATTTCCCATCCTCCAGGATATAAACCACACACACATACACACACACACACAAATACATACAGTTATTCTTTGGATGCTAATGACACTATCCACTTGTCAAGGAGGTCCGTCAGGCCAATAAGCTACAACTCAACATTCATGTTTACCAGTCTTTAAGCAATATGACGATATAAAACAAGACCAATCACTTTTCAGAAATTAGGAAGGGACTTACTCAGCATTATCTCTGCTGTAAATTGATTTTGTTAATGAAGTGTACTAATTAATTCGGAACTGCAGAAGTGAGTTTTCCTCGCAAAAAATAAAGTTCCGCTAGGTAAATCACCATTCACTTTACAGTCCTAGATTACTGCTAGAATATCATTCTGATTGTTATCTCTTCGATATTGTTGTCTTTCTTCTTCTTCATATTTAGAGACTTGCACGGAAACATGAGAGTCTTCGAAGTTTTCCGCCCACACAAACGACCGAAAAGAGCTCTAAAACAATAAACGAAGCGTTGTCTGTGTCTACTGTGTACGATGTCACTGTCACGATACTGACACTCGGTGAGTCTCAGTTGCCAGTGAAGTCTAAATCCAATGAATTATCAGTTTGGTTTGACAAAATGCTAACAAATCCAATCCCTTGGTTGAAAGCAAATGTAGGCTCAGCTTTCAAATCATGGTTGCCCTACATCCGAGTAGATTTCTATTCACAGAGACTGTATGCAGATAATGCTGAACTATTGAAGAAAAGGTGAGTTTTTCAGCTGACCAGTATGAGACGTGTTGCTGGGTTAGTTAAGTACATCTGGAATAAGTGTTATGTTTTTTGTTGCTCTGAAGTCCCCGTAGCGAAAGGGGTGAGAGTATCTCCTGCTGGGTGGGTTTGCTAGTCCCACATCCATCTCTTATCTGGGTTTGGAACTGTGAGATGGTGAACTGGTTTAAATCAAACCACTCACTCTTAATGTTTATGGCCTAGCTACACTCCGTATAGTGTCAACTGAAATCTCATTCTTCATCTTACTTCCTTATGGAAGACGTGATATGCATAGTTTATGATTAAAACGCCTTCGACATCGTCGACCGTGAAGTAATTTGGAAACTACTACGAGACTATGAAGTGGACCGAATCTTTATCAACCACTGTTCAACTGCTATATGAAAGTGCCAAGTGTCAAGTGATTCACAAGGGAACACTCACCGATGCCTTTGATGTAAATACTCTCACTGATGATATTCCTGGTTGTGGTGGACTGGGTCATACGGCCTACTGTGCGTGGGGAGTGAAAAGGCAGATAAGGAGACTCTGGAAGATCTGGACATTGTGGACGATTTGTATGTAATGAATTCACATGAATTCGGGGACTTACTGGCGAAAACCAACAAGTAGGCAGAAGAACGAGCATAGACGGGACTTCAAGTGAACACAGAGAAGACAGAGGTGATGAAGATAACCAACCATGAACAACAACAACAACAAGCACGAATCACTATCGACGGAAGAAATTTGAAGGCGGTCACTTCCTTCGCGTGTCCAGGAAGCATCGATTCAACTACAGGTGTTTAGTTAACAAATTACATATATTCAATCCAATCTGAAAATCCCTTATTAACTAGTTGTGTCATCAAATATATTCCAGATAACAAACTTCCAAACAGTTGATATATCGTTTTATGGAGATCATAGCTGTAGAATCAGGTGAGAGAATATAATTTGTAAAATGTATGGGTTTGTAAGATTGTAGGAATAATAATGTCACTAATGAGATGAATAAACTTCACTTCCAAGGTTACATAACAGTGTAGTTAAGGGACTTCGAATTTCAACCAGTAGATTTCCCTAAGCATTTAACCTTACACAATATATGTGGTTCAAGGGATATAGACGTGGTTGCTGAAGTGCAGCTTTCTTTCTGCATACACAGTAAGTGTGAATTACGTGTATATTTAATACACATGAACATTAATAATAGTAAGTAAGAGTTACTGTGGAAGACTAAATCCCACGATAGATCAGTAAGAAAGTATAATTTTTATTTTCTTATTCTACATCATCATATAGTTCATTTAATTTTGCTTTGTGTGTGTCCTTTCACTGGAACAGTCCTTCTTTTCCACGCTTTGTTCTTTCCTCACATACGTCATATTACTCATTATGTGTATGTGATGCCTGTGACTAGCTACGCTAGTGTAAAATATTTTTTTAACGGGTGCTGCACACCAACTATAGATAACCAAATTTTTTTACAAAATTCACTAATCGTTATACAGTCGCGGAAGCACATCTCAGACTGTTTACAAAACATCGAATTTAATAATAAAGAAAGGGAATATTGTAATTTATATTTTGTAGAAGGAAATTTTTCGGATGTGATGCACTATAAAAACTACATAAAAGCACAGTTTAATTTGGCACAGCAATATATTCACTCGAGTGGAATGTCATTCGGCACTTTTGGATCTTCAGAAAACAGAAGGACTGAGGGAATAAATATTCACATTTCAATTTGATTTTCATCTCTGACTTCAATAGCACTTTTAATACGATGCATAACACTTTACCAGTCATGTGTCAATGTGTTTGTTAACAATAATTCATCCGTTTTGAAACTATATATATATATATATATATATATATATGTAACGAGAGATGAGGATCGAATTGAAGAGTGAATATTTTTCCTCTCAATCCTTTTGCTTTCTAAACGTCTAAATGGAGATTTTTTTTCTATATTTTTAGAAGTATGTTAAATTTTATTTTCACTTCATTTTAGTTCTGTCTTTTTCGATAAGCATGTAAGCACAAGCACATTTTGTGTTTACGCATCACCAAGACACATACTGCATACATGCATATTTATAATGATAACTTACAATACAGTAAACATTTAAGTCTGTCCTCACCAACAGCTAGTACTAAATTTCTCAGTTTTTCTTCTTAAATTTCTTTTCCGCAAAATGTTAACAGTCATACACCTACAATATGATAACAGAAAAAACAAAATAAATGGAGGGAGTCTGTATACATAAACAGAGACACAACACACATAAATAATTAAGACACTGCCTGTCGACTTACAATTCACAGTCTGTAAGCATGACTAAAAAGGAGACTGATAAGATACAATGCTAAGTAATGAGCGCTTCTAGCATGAAATATTGTCTTCTGAAGACAGTACTGTTTTCTCTCTCCTGTTTCACATTCGAAACTGAAATTATAATTGGTGGTAAATGATAATGAAGTGAGTGTCAAAGATAATGATGACAAAAATGGCAATAGCAGTGGGAATGTGTTTAACGTTTCTATTTACTTTTACTGTATGGAAACTGATGCCTTTGTTCTAATCTACCTCGGAGTTGTGAAAAAGCTCTCTTCGAAATATCAGCCAGCTGTGGATACTTGAAAGCATGGTGTCTGCTCCCTCTGCATATAATAATAACAATAATAATAATAATAATCACAACAATGGTAACCATCATGACAGTTCTTGACTGTGGGACAAATGGCGCGTATGTGGAAGCTAATATTTTCCAGGCATAGACAACAATGAAAAGGTTTTTAACAAGTGATATAATATTTATTTATGTTTGTCTCAGTTAGCTATGTAAGAGAGTCAGTCACATGATGAAGGAGCGAATATTCCTTTGTCTGAGAATTAGCCACATCGTTTAGACGGAAACAATAAAAATGGTACGAAACAGTACACTTTAAGTATATCTGATAGCCACGACACAGTAAGAATATATCATTTGGGTAGAGAAATTATTGTTAAGGCTTTTGGAGTCATCCGATGAACTGAAAGGAGTACAAGAGTTGATGTTTTACAAATTCCATGTCATGGATTTGATGTAATGAAAATGGGATAGATTTACCGGCTATCTTACTTTCACTTTTTCCGAAGAAGAGTGTATGGATACCCATTTCACGTGGAGCGATCATCTAACTCCTCTAGTTTTTCAGGGTACTGTTGATCTATGGGGACTTACACTCTTTTCATTTGATACTAGATACGAAAGAAATCTGGTATTAATTAGTGCCCAGTTTAAGAAAGTCCTCCTGTTCCTGGTGAGATGTCATGATTTTTTAATTATTTTCGCTGAAAGAGTGAGAGAGAGAGAGAGAAGTAATACGCTTATTGCTTAAATGTATTGATGAGGTGCTCTCTAGACGTTTTTAGAAATACTACTTTTATTTTAAACAGCTAGAGATAAAACGTTCACCTTTTAGTGAATGGTGATTTTGTTTGAGGTCCTTGATCCATTTCGACACAAAATTCAAATCTCTAGAATAAATTTTTAGTTATGAGAATGGTTAAGGTTGATGGTGGATGTGCAAGCGGATAGATAGAGCTAAGCAGAATTTTCAAGGGGATTTCGAGGACAATCAGATTAGATTTCGCTTTTCACTAGGACACATTGACACGATCTAGGTGTAACACTCTACAAACTAGAGACAACTTAGAGACCGAAAACTGGAGTTTTCTTGCACAACAATCAGTCAGACTTATTTCATACACATGCATACTATTACTACATCTACATAATAAACAGAACAGTTATGTAAAAATGCATACTACCTGATAACTGCTTGAATCACCTAATTTCATTATTATATTATAAAGGCTGAACGACGCGAAGTAAGAAGTTCGAATATAATAATATACTTCCTTTAATATACTTCCTCCTTTCCCTATTGGAATGAGGACTAAAACTAATGAGGATAATAAAGTAAACGTCTGCGGTAGACAAGAATTTCCATATTCAAATGGCTGTATCTTCTTTCCTCTCTTCTTCAACCTTTGAAAAATAATTCTAGGTCTACCTACTAATTTTATACATTAGACTGTTATTTTTCGATTGATATTAGACATAAATGGCCAAGACGTCCTAGAATTGGAATAAATTCATTTTGGCAAAGAAACATACACTCAGTAGACATAGTAGTTTTGTTCAGTTGTAAACAAACAGAAACACTAGCTCATAATGGGCCTAAAGAGGAGACACATATAAACATAAAGTGATCAATAGACAGACAGGCAAATTGAAAGACGTGTTTGCCTGTAATTGTTTGGCACAATTCAGACTACATTTCAATATTGATCTTCTATTGGTAGAACGGAAATATGTAAATTATTCCAATAGGTTACAATAAATGTGCCAAAACTTCGATCTTACCAAGTCCTACCAAACCATTTTCAAGAATTTCTTGGTGGTCTTCGTAAATAAACAATCACCATAATTACATATATATCTATATGATTACGGAGGTCGTAAGTGTAACGTGACTGCTGGAATAGGCTTCTTACGTGCACCGTTGTCAACATTTATCTTCAGCTGCTAAAATGCTATGCATTTGTGTCAAAGTAAAACTAATTCAAAATCGAATTGAAACCAGTGGAATCAGGAATGCAGATTTATTCATTCTCCACCCAATTTCTAATACCTGGAGATTAACAATAGTTAAACACTGACTTATTCAGCACACCAGAGCTTAGAAACTTAACTACCCGCTTAGCATCTTATATGAAATGTTTCACTGAGTATTTCATTGTCGCTTGACAATTTCGGTGAAGTATTATCAACCCAACTAGGGTATCTGTTTCTGGCATACAAGATACCTTTATTGGAAGTATGTAGAGTGAATCCATAAAGAAGTTAATGTCAGTGGAAAAGCAAAAGAAATTAGCTTAAGTATAATTAACGTAAGATATTCAATCAGCACAAAGAAAGGAAAAAAAATTTGGGAGTAACAGTGTGAAAGTCCATTGCAAGCTTATATTTAAAAGTCTAAAGTTTTTTGTTTGTTCTGATTCACCAAATGTTATCTTTGATATGTATGTTCACTAATCCCGTATTAAGATTAAATGGTACTGTGCACACGTTACATAGAATTAAGTGGGCTGAGGTTGTAATGTATGTTTCCAAGTCACTTAAGTACATTTATTCTAATGCATTTGAATGGTCTGGCAGTATGTCTAATAATTATGCCACATGCCAATGGATTCACGGCGGAAAGGTCGAGGAAGTGTTTCAAGTGAGGACAGGACTAAGACTGGACTGATTAATATTACTGATGACCTTCCTGCTTTTGGTCAACTGGATCATGTAACAGATCATGGGGAGTGGGAAGACGAGAACACATTGGGCCGATGAAATGATACTGGAAGATATGGACTTTAAAAACGATTTATGTCTGATGTCACATAAATGCGAAGATATATAGTCGAAAACTAAAAAATTTGACATAAGGGACAGCAAAGACAAATCTTCAAGTTAACACAGAGAAAACGAAAGTGACGAAGATAACCAACTCACTCTAGAACCACAAGCACCAATCATTATCAACGGGAGCATTCTAAAGCAGGAGATTTCCTTCACTTATCTGAGTGGCATCGTTTTAACTACAGGTGACACGGATGAAGATATGGAAGCCAGAATCGGAAAGGCAAGACAAACCTTCATTGTTTTGAAATCAGTGTGTGAATCCACTGCACTCACCATAAAAAACGAGAATGAGATCTTCAACAGTGATGTCAAGTCAGTGCTTCCGTATGGTTTAGAGATTAGGTGCGTCACCGAAAATGTTCTCAACAGCTTGGTGCAGACATCGATCAACAGCTGCCTTTGCTCCATTTCGAAAATCAGATAGCCTTCTGGGAGGGATAAATAACAAGGAGCTCTGTGAACGAACTGATCAAGAAGCTGTCGTCCAACAAATGCGCGAGAAGAAGTGGAAATGGGTCGGACACACGCTGTGGAGGCCGTCGAGTAACGTCATGCGCCATGCCTTCGAGTGGAACCCGAATGTAGAACGAAGAGTCGAGTGAAGGCCGAGAGTGACGTGGAGGTGGCCGTACGAGGAGGAAATCAAAGCTAATGGGATTGGTGGAGCCGTGTGAATAGGACTACAGAGATCGAGATGGGATGGAGATGTGCTATTGAAACCCTATGTTCCACTCGAAACCCCTCTTAATAAAAAGGACCGTCTTTTTGATAATTCTTCTGATCTAATGTATACATTCCGCTATTAATACTATGTCCCAAACATTTTATTAACTTTCACTTAATTCTGTGATCATTACTACCAAACTGAGCCCGAAAACCTCTACCTCTAGTTTTTTCTTGAACCAAGTTACTATCTTCACAGTGGGGTTTTCTTTATCCAAACCTTACACGGAATAAGACAACCGACCTAATTGGACAATACTGTGATACCTCAGACTTAAGAATTTTGTTGTCTTTGAGAAATGCACACAAAGTTCAAGTGTAGTTATTCACACAACTCCATGAGGTCACCCTAATATTTTAGTAGATTGTTTGAGTTATTTTGGTAGACTTATTGGTGCAGAGGCAGTACGCGTTTACATAGGAGAGACCTGACTACTCTATTAGGCCTGCTTCTGTATTCGGCAGTTGTTCATGTGCTGTCCAACTGAATAAGTTGCTGGGAATAAGACGATGTAGTGAAATTCGTGAATACATTTTTGTGCTCTCCACTCATGTCATGGAAAGAGTGAATGGATGGCTTCTATCGAAAGCCGTCTATTTTAACTGGAAAAGGCAAGACGCTCATATGTCGTTATCTGAAGTGGCTTTAATGCTCAGATACGGAAGTTAAGACAGTTCAAGAAGTATGTTGAATGTATTTACATTTTTTGTGCTCGACAACTGTTGCTTTCACATAACCATATTTTTTGGCCAGTACTAATTTCACACCTAAGTAGAGATTGTGTTTCATACAAAGACCCCCGACCTGAAGCTAACGGTGGACTTATCTATGGAGGTGGCCGGAGGAACATTGATAATCCCTCTGGAACATAGTTGGCATACGTGTGTGCATCCGATTCAGTGGACGTTAAAAACAAATACCTGATTAGCTCACACGAATTCGGTTTTTTGATGAGAACTGGGAGTCAGCATTTGGCGAAGAGGTAATTAAAGACATACCTGAGTGTGACACCAATACTTGTCCTGAAAAAGACTGTCATCATATACATCTCGACAGGTACATGATACAGACTACGAAATCGATACCTGGAAAACTGCATACACCTCCTATCCTCGAAAAAAAAAGTTCTCATTAAGTCCACAATTTAATCAGTATTCATCGAAGAAAACATTAAGAACTAGTCTGTCTCGTGCTCTGGGGAAGGATTTTCATGCAGTTAAACTGTGGATTTCTCCGCGAAACCTATGACTCCAATATCCGTAAGGGACAAGTTGTCATTGCTATCCTCCTCAATGTGTGTATAAGCTCACCTACTTCTGTGGGGCCAAGTGTGTCAGCCCCACCCAACTCTTACTTTCTATGCATATAATCCAACATATATCATCCTGATTTTAAGAGGAAAATATCTTGCAGTTCAGCCAGAGAATCTCCGATTGGTTATGGTCAGGTAGACTCACCAGCTAGTTTTTCTGTCATCTGTGAGATACGTGGAAATCTCCTGAGAAAGTATGAATAAAGCTTCTTCAAAGTGAAGCGACTGTGCCACTTAGTAGTTTACAAGTTGAGCTTTGCATATTAAAGGATTTTCTTCGGTCGTTAGATTTGCTGAGAACGTAAGCACCAAAACACTTTACTATAATTACAGTTACTCAGATATTAAAGCTGTATAAGTAAGGAACTCGAGTCACTGGATGATAATTTCACCTTGGTAAGTCAAACACATAAGTTTATGGCCTTTTTAAATTTCCGGGAACTTCATTACATTCTTCCTCTTTGCGTTTTTTCATTTAGGATGATACAGTGTCTGGAAGCTTTAAAAAAATCGGTTGAAATGAAAACGTACTACAGTAAAGAAGAAGTGGAAGAAAAGGAAAGGTGGGCTATGCGGTTGAAATATTTCCAGTACAGTGCCACAATACTGAATCGAAAATTCTTATGAAGCCCATTGATGATCCGTTTTCTAAGTTTTGTGTATCCTTCATATATATAGTAAAGGTATCTGTACATAAATTAAATTGTCTCATGAAGTCATGTGTAACTGCCTACTTTATCGTGCATGTCTATATAAAACTATAGGAGTTAACTAACAAAGATTTACTTGCTTTGGTTTTCATCTCATCACTGATGTATCCAAACTCATTCTTTGTAAGTAAATAAATAAACTGCCTAAAATATTTTAGTTTCTTTATTTCTAGGATATTGTTAAATTTGAAGATTTACGGTTATTTATCGGTTTCATAACTATTACTGTATTGGGAAGTTACTTCGTTCTGGTTTCAACTGCTTTATCCCTTCAGTACTAATAGTGTAGCAGCAGAAGGCAAGACACAAAAGCCAAGGTATATTTTCCATGGATCAAACAAAGGCCCTGATGCAATGGGGCGGGGGTGGCGATCTCGTCCAGGATAATGATCGCCAGATTCAACTCCAAAGGAAGGAAAGTGACAATCATACAATGTTATGCACCCACAAACAACGCACACCTCGAAAAGAAAGAAGAATTCTACAGACAACTACAGGCAACTATGGACAATACTCCAGCTGGTGACATTAAAATGCTAATGGTAGACATGAACGCCAAACTGGGACCAGACAACACAGGGAGGGAACTCATCATGCGTAGAGAAGCTCTCGGAGAACTGAATGAAAATGGTGAACTCTTCGCCGACTTCTGCGCCTTCAACGAACTAGTGATTGGTGGCAGCTATACAACACAAAGATATCCACAAGGCTACATGGGTGTCACCAGATGGGCGAACCGAAAACCAAATTGACTTCATCTCAATGCTGCTCAAGGAAGTGGAGGCGCAGCCTACTGGACACAAAAGTGCGAAGAGAAGCAGACGTTGGCTCAGACCACTATCTCATACAAGGGACGATCCAAATCAAATTAAAAGCTTTCAGGGAAATAAGGGCTGCAGATAGACCACAAGCCAAGTTCAACACTCAAAAACTGAAGGACCAGGCTACAAAGGACATCTTCATTGCAAGCATGAGGGACAAAGCCGAGACACAAATCACCACTAGCGAAGAGGTCGGCGTCAAAAAACACTGAGACAACTTGAAAACGGTGTGGAGTCAAACCTGCATGGAAGTTCTAGGGGGAAAGAAGAGGCAGGACAAACAGTGGCTCACTACGGACACTTGGAAGCTAATAGAAGAGAGAAGGACAGTGAAACAAAAGATTATCCAGTGCACTCACGAGCAACAAAAACACGAGCTGAATGCAAGCTACAATACACTGAACAAAAGAGTAAAGAAGAGTGCCAGGGAAGACAAAAGAAAATATTACGAAACCATGTCAAGTGAAGCAGAACAAGCTGTTGTGCAGGCAAAGGAGACCTCGCCACACTCTACCAAACAACTGGGCACCTATCGGGCAAAAGTTCGACACAGATTAAGCCAATAAAGGACGACAATGGAAAGTCAATCACCAAAGAGGTGGAACAGAGAAAGCACTGGGCTGAACACTTCAAAAGACTTCTAAATCGACCGCCACCTACAACGCGCCCAACAATACCAACAACGGAAGCAGAACTACCAGTGAACATCGACCCTCCGACGAAATCAGAGGTCCTGAATGCAATCAAGATGCTAAAAACCGGAAAAGCAGCAAGACCAGATGGAATCCCAGCAGAAGCATTGAAAATGGACCCAGAGACAACAGCGGACCTGATGACGCCACTACTGGAGAAGGTGCGGAAAGAGGGCAAAGTACCTGAGGATTGGAAGAAGGGTTATGTACTAGTTTTCCCCGTCGCCAAATTGTTATGTACTCGTCGCTGAATTATTGTTATGGACTGGTCGATAAACTAATAGTCCTGACGCGAGAAGGCGGAAATCAGAAGACCACTAGGTTTGCGATGATACTTCTATTGTCCAAATACAAGGAGACGAAAATAAATGGTCTCACACCAAAGCGATAAGTAAGTCAAGTAGTTGTAAAGTAGTTCACACAAATTGTGAATGCGAATATATATAAATAATTCAGACAAGCGTGGAAAAATCATTAGACAGTCTTAACATGAATGGCTAATTATAATGGAGTGTCGATCCAATTATACATAGCGAATATAGCAGACATGCCAACAAACATATATGGATATATGTCACCAAGCAACGGACTGTCAACAAACACTCATATTATATATAATATAATATAAGGAGAATACACATTATTAAAGGAGACAAGTTCATACAAGTGAAGTGGTCACAGACTAACCGAGCAAACAGAAAGAGAGACCAACATGACACACACACATAAATATATAGATGTGGATACATATCAAAGGGATACTTATTCAAACTACCAAAGAAAGGAGACTTAGGTCAGTGCGAAAGCTGGCACGGAATTATGCTCCTGTCCAGCCCAAGCAAAATACTAAGCCGCATCATCCTGGAGAGAATCAAACAAGCCATTTTGGATGAAAAACTTCGACTGGAACAGGCTGGATTCAGGAGAAAAAAGTCATGTATTGATCAAATCGCCACAATACGGATCATCATTGAACAAAGCTTAGAATATCAATCACCTCTCCACCTCACTCAACTTCATCGACTTTGAAAAGGCCTTCAGAAGACAGCGTCGATCGAGAGGTCATCTAGCAACTATTTCGCTACTACGGGGTCCCATCGACAATTATACATCTCATTCAACAGTTATACGACAATGCTGCATTCCAAGTAATCCACAACGGGAAACTTACGGAAGCCTTCGAAGTGAGGACAGGAGTGAGGCAAGGCTGTCTACTATCACCAATGATCTTCCTGATTGCAGTAGATTGGATAATGCGACAGGCAGGCAACGGGCAACGAGGAAACAGGCATAAAATGGACTCACACAAGAAGAGAACTTGGAGGATCTGAACTTCGCCGATGATATATGTCTGATTTCCCACAAACTGGAAGATATGCAAGTGAAAAGCAACAAGCTGGAGATAGAAGAAGCATCAAAGATAGGACTTCAAGTGAACATAGATAAAACAGAGGTGATGAAGATTCCTGGCCAACACCAACAGCAACAACAACAACAGACAACAATCAGCCAGCATAAATGGGAGGAACTTGAAAGAAACAACCTCCTTCACCCACATGCCTGGGAAGCATCGTTTCAACTACAGGTCGACGGAATTGACGAGGATATCAAAGCCAGAATCTGAGAAGCAAGACAAGCCTACATTAATCTTAAGTCTGTGTGCAGGTCAACAGCCCTACTCAGCATCAAAAATAAGATCCAGATTTTCAACTCCAATGTGAAGTCAGGCTGTGCTACTATACGGATCATAGACTTGGCCAGCGCGTCACAAACAGCATCACAACAAGCTACAGACTTTCATTAACAATAATAATAATAATAATATACCGCTGTTTATACATATACAGTTTATATTCTTTTATCAATCATTGAGCGTGTGATTTCGGTTTACATTGAACGACATGAAATAGAATGTTCAAATATATACATAGTATTCTCTTGTTAATGCAGTATATAACCGTGGGAGATGTATTCTGTCTCTATCATCAAATAGAATGATCAAATAGATATGTTGTATTCTGTTGCGAATGCCGAATTGAACTGTGGGAATATATGAGAATAATATTCCGTTGGCAAACTCTGTCTGTATCACACCAACACAATAGGATTTCGAGTGGAAATGAGCCAAAGATATCAAGGTGTTGTGGTAAGCATATCACATTTGACTTATTGGGTTAATTAAAACAATTAGTCCCTTTGATAAATTTGAATAAGGCATTAAGAAGACAAATTTCGCGAGATGATATCATTTCATAGTATCTTTACAACCGCTTTACAACTAACATGGTTAACAATGATAAAATAAAGTTCATGAAAATTACTCAGTTAAATAAAACCAAAAGTACATACTAATAACCAATCATATTTCGATAGGTCATCTAGTCCAGGGTAGGCGAAGATTGAAGTCTATTGATTTTTGTATACACAGTTTAGGCTGTATGTGATTAATCCAAAGTGCTTCCATCACCTTCAATAACCTTGAATTAGAGTTATGTGGTGAAATAATTGTGAAACAGTCATTAATATTGATTTTGTGACCAGACATTAATAAGTGTTTTGCAATGGATGATGCTGGATTTCTACTAAGATTAATCGCGTTAGGATTTTCGATATGATTTACTAGCCATTTTGGAACATGTTCTTTTCGACGACATTGGAACATTGTGTTAGTTCTACCTATATAGGTGTCACCGCAGATGCAGGTGAACTTGTAGATACAGTTTGAAGTAGAGTCCACAGAATTTCGTCCTTTAATCGTAGGTACAGGGATCAAAAATGTTCGGCAAGTGAGAAAAAGAGATGTGGCGGCGTAGAATGTGCGTTTGATGGCTGACCGAAGTCTTTGAGCTGTCAACTGCATAATCTGGTCGCCCTTGAATGGTAGATTAATAAAGATGGCTTTCTTTGGTACAGAAGCTGTCTTTTCAAGATGTGGTCTATCCTTACCGTGACAATTGATGAAGTTTTCTGGATAACCATTGGCTAGTAAAACTGAATGTATATGTCGAAGCTTATCCATCAATGTGTCACTCGTACATATTTTTCGAGCCCTTGAGAACAAACATTTCACCAGGGAACGTTTATACTGTTCCTATCCATTTATATATATCCATATATTTATATTGTTCCTATCCAGTATGAAGTTATGAAGTTTTTCAAAGATTTATAGAAATTTTACAAAGAACCCAGCTAATATGTGTACGTTACGTGGAATGAGCATATCTGACTCATTTTCGCCTGACAAGTAATGGTTCACGCTAACAGAGTAGCATGGTTCTTGGTGGGATACTGACGTATGGTCTGGTAATCGGCGAATAGCACTAGAAGTCCAAAATCATTTTGATTTACTTGGATTTTCATAAATTGAAGCAGATTCTATTGACTAGGTTAATTTAGGTTACACAGTAACTAATTATGTAGACGAATAAAGAACGGAATCTGGTCACATGACTGATAGGTTTCAACAGCCAAAAAAAGTACATGAGTATGTAGGTTAACAAATAAAATAATGTACACCAAGTTTGATTGCATTTCGAGGCATCCAATATTTAAAAGTACATGTCACATTTTTGTGCATGTACTTTTGGGCTAGATATACACTAGAAAATTTATGACGAAGAAAAAATGTGTAAATACACGAGATCACTAATAATGGATGATGTAAGTCTCAAGATAGTACAGGTCACAAATTGATTTAATTTTCTTTTAATACTTTGTCTATTTAGAGTAAAATTTCACAGTCTCCAAAGTCTGACTGGTTTTTAAGATTAAAGTCTTCTGAGACTAACAGCATGTGTTCATGAGTTTATATGAGTGGAAATCATAATGAATACAATACCTCTCATAAATAATACCACTATTGCTGAACCGAAGTAAATGTCTGCTAATGACGAGACAGGATAAAACTTGGTGGTATAAATTAATTGCAGTTACTTCCATCATCTACTAAAACTGATCACTGTCATAGATTGTGATTATAAATTACAAATAAACGATATTCCATCTTAATTTCACGTTAACTATTCCTGATTAAATTTAAAGCAGATATGCTTTGAAATGCCAAGTGTTATCCCCTTGGTGACTGACAACGTTTAAATCCAGGATTAACTCCCCGTTGTACTTAGAACTACCAAGTGGAATCTACTGACAACCCATTGCTTTCACGCTCTAAACTGTGTGTGGTGGGGTGAATTTAAGTTGAATCATTGTTACTCACCAGGCTTTAAAGAAAGCCGCCTGATATTTTCTATTCAGGATGAAATGCACTTAGACGACCTGATCGCCATGGAATACCAGATAAAAGATATGAATAATGAAGCATCTATTCAAGCAGTCATTACGCTTGAATGTGATAAAAATCAACACGAGGCTAGACGTATGAACAGATGAACAAAAATGTTGGATAGTTAGTTATTTTGGCGATGAGAAGTGATGAAAATCACTGATCCAAATATTTGTGGGATTTATTTATGTGATTCATGCACACAAGATTCTCATTTCCTACAAGGTTAATTCCAGTCAACACTGGCGTTAAATGCATATCGTCAGAGTTATTTTGGTGGTTGACTGATAATAATAAAACATAAATTTTTGAATAAATCGTTTATGCTTTCAGTGGTTTGTTTGTGATATTTTCGGCTTTAGTGCCACTTTTGAGAACCACTTTAAGTTAATAATTGGTTAGTTCATGTAGTTAGCTTAGTTAACTTTTTCTAAAGTAATAATAAACATCCTGATTGAGTGAACTAATTTCATTTTGTGTTCTTAACGTCTTTTACATACGTAATGGTTTGAAATTTCGTGGATCAGTTGTCACTTTAAGACGTCACTGTTATCCAATGTCTAGGCTAAACGGGTTTCATTTATAATTATGGAACCTGCTAAGAAATGGCCGAAAGTAATTATCATATTGTATGATTAACAAACAAAGAAAACATTAGACAACAAGGCGATAGCTAATTTATTGATTGTTTTGTGTGTTTTTTTGGTGCGTCGGTGGCACAGCGGTTAGGACGCTCGCCGACCATGCACATGGTCCGGGGTTCGAACCTCGGCCGACGCACTCCTTTACCTCGCTAAGCCAGAAATGATTCTGGTGAAGAGGAAAGGTTGGGCATGAGGCTAACAACCCCATCCTGTAAAAAAAAAATAATAATAGTAATAAACACTGCTACAGAAACTTGAAGCCACCAGCTTGAGGCCCTATGTTCCACTGGGAACGTGAAGGAAAAATTATTATTATTATTATTTTTGTGTTTTTTAATCTTCTGTCCTAGCTGAAAGTAGAAACATTGTCCTAATGAAAACATCTAATGGGTATCAAACGATGCCTTGTATTGTTATCATTGTGCATCTAACATATCACTCACTATATATCTGATAACTTCAAAACATATAGAGCATGTTAATCATGATTACATAACAGATAGCAGTTCAATGAATGCTATGAGCATAACAAGAGTTTAGAAATAACCGTCTACGGATCTTTGAACTGTGTCAAATCTTTTGATGTTTCAAAAGTTATAGGTTTATCCTATACTCGATTAGAGCGTATTATGTATATGTACAGAATTCCCCTTGAAATGTGGAAAATAAAGTAGAAAGTTCTCTTTATGAAAATGTTAAATAAAATAGTCTGACATACGTACAAACATGGGATTTAGTCTTCCACAGTAACTCTTACTTACTATTATTAATGTTCATGTGTATTAAATATACACGTAATTCACACTTACTGTGTATGCAGAAAGAAAGCTGCACTTCAGCAACCACGTCTATATCCCTTGAACCACATATATTGTGTAAGGTTAAATGCTTAGGGAAATCTACTGGTTGAAATTCGAAGTCCCTTAACTACACTGTTATGTAACCTTGGAAGTGAAGTTTATTCATCTCATTAGTGACATTATTATTCCTACAATCTTACAAACCCATACATTTTACAAATTATATTCTCTCACCTGATTCTACAGCTATGATCTCCATAAAACGATATATCAACTGTTTGGAAGTTTGTTATCTGGAATATATTTGATGACACAACTAGTTAATAAGGGATTTTCAGATTGGATTGAATATATATAATTTGTTAACTAAATACCTGTAGTTGAATCGATGCTTCCTGGACACGCGAAGGAAGTGACCGCCTTCAAATTTCTTCCGTCGATAGTGATTCGTGCTTGTTGTTGTTGTTGTTCATGGTTGGTTATCTTCATCACCTCTGTCTTCTCTGTGTTCACTTGAAGTCCCGTCTATGCTCGTTCTTCTGCCTACTTGTTGGTTTTCGCCAGTAAGTCCCCGAATTCATGTGAATTCATTACATACAAATCGTCCACAATGTCCAGATCTTCCAGAGTCTCCTTATCTGCCTTTTCACTCCCCACGCACAGTAGGCCGTATGACCCAGTCCACCACAACCAGGAATATCATCAGTGAGAGTATTTACATCAAAGGCATCGGTGAGTGTTCCCTTGTGAATCACTTGACACTTGGCACTTTCATATAGCAGTTGAACAGTGGTTGATAAAGATTCGGTCCACTTCATAGTCTCGTAGTAGTTTCCAAATTACTTCACGGTCGACGATGTCGAAGGCGTTTTAATCATAAACTATGCATATCACGTCTTCCATAAGGAAGTAAGATGAAGAATGAGATTTCAGTTGACACTATACGGAGTGTAGCTAGGCCATAAACATTAAGAGTGAGTGGTTTGATTTAAACCAGTTCACCATCTCACAGTTCCAAACCCAGATAAGAGATGGATGTGGGACTAGCAAACCCACCCAGCAGGAGATACTCTCACCCCTTTCGCTACGGGGACTTCAGAGCATAACAAAATATAACACTTATTCCAGATGTACTTAACTAACCCAGCAACACGTCTCATACTGGTCAGCTGAAAAACTCACCTTTTCTTCAATAGTTCAGCATTATCTGCATACAGTCTCTGTGAATAGAAATCTACTCGGATGTAGGGCAACCATGATTTGAAAGCTGAGCCTACATTTGCTTTCAACCAAGGGATTGGATTTGTTAGCATTTCGTCAAACCAAACTGATAATTCATTGGATTTAGACTTCACTGGCAACTGAGACTCACCGAGTGTCAGTATCGTGACAGTGACATCGTACACAGTAGACACAGACAACGCTTCGTTTATTGTTTTAGAGCTCTTTTCGGTCGTTTGTGTGGGCGGAAAACTTCGAAGACTCTCATGTTTCCGTGCAAGTCTCTAAATATGAAGAAGAAGAAAGACAACAATATCGAAGAGATAACAATCAGAATGATATTCTAGCAGTAATCTAGGACTGTAAAGTGAATGGTGATTTACCTAGCGGAACTTTATTTTTTGCGAGGAAAACTCACTTCTGCGGTTCCGAATTAATTAGTACACTTCATTAACAAAATCAATTTACAGCAGAGATAATGCTGAGTAAGTCCCTTCCTAATTTCTGAAAAGTGATTGGTCTTGTTTTATATCGTCATATTGCTTAAAGACTGGTAAACATGAATGTTGAGTTGTAGCTTATTGGCCTGACGGACCTCCTTGACAAGTGGATAGTGTCATTAGCATCCAAAGAATAACTGTATGTATTTGTGTGTGTGTGTATGTGTGTGTGGTTTATATCCTGGAGGATGGGAAATCTGTTCCGGGTGATTAGGACAAGAATGAATGAATGAATGAATGAATGAATACAATAGCAAGATATACTCACTTTCAGATGATTTGCTTGTATCAAAACACCATCCAATAAATATTTAATATGCAGTGTTACTAATTTTGTCGTCTCTGCATTATTCTTCTCACTCGACGACAACAACATTGTGGATGGAATAAACACGTAGATTAGATTCAAGTTAATTGAGCTTCGAATCACCGAAAATGGTTGCATCTCAGAGTAGCCATTAAACTCCTTCCCATTGAATAGAAAATCATTACCGACCAAAGGTAACAATATGAAGTGATAGACAGAAGACGTATTCCCCTGTTGGATGAGATTATCACTGCTAGAAATCAAAAGAAAAACATTTTCGCTACAAAAGGCAGTGCTGTAGTGTTTTGTTTGACAAAGAGATCAATTAGACTAGAGTTCGAAAAGAAACTTAAATTCTATAGCGTCATGACGACTTACACAGAAGCGTACAGTCTAGGATGCACAACTATGACAAGTGGAAAAGTGGCTCCTTGGTTCGAACACTCAGCTTTCATTCAATGGATCCCTAGTTGGAATCCCGTTACACCAACTTCAGACTGGGAAACCAACCGATTTGGAAAGATTCATTCTCGTTTTATGTCTGGTGTCAGAAATGAACTCGTTGAGCAGATAGCAGAAAAATATTAACGACTATTCAAAAAGATTCAGGAGAAAGTAGAGTTAAGAAAGAAGATACTTAAGAGACAAGCATTCCGATTAACTTCATCCAAAGAGCCATTTATCACTTTGTAATACTTTCACTGTTGCAAGGAAGAAAACGACTGCAGAATAATCACCAATGGATTTTGATAACAAAGAAAATCTGATAATGTCCTAAGCCGTTGAGTAACAAAACCTCTCAGACCAGAGCGAAAACATCATGATACACTAGTTAAATGAAACTATCCTACAAGTCACAGAATGACTTCATACACCGACTACCACCTCACATTTACAGATCAATTAAAGAACTAACAAACGACGAACAGTAAGGAAATGTAGGCGAGGATAAATTAGCAACGATGTTACGAGGGACAGACCATGACTCTTTAAGACGAAAGCAATTAATTATTGAAAAACATTCTTCGCATTGTTTGAAATGATCCTAAAGTCTATCAACATTAAAATATCCACCGTCTGATACATTCAGGTGGAAAAGAACATATTTTATAGGCATGGGAGAAATATGAACTCAATGAAGTTCGACGACTAGAAATTGCACAAGTTATCCTCACAACAACAACTAGACAACTACACAGGTTCATAAAACATCAACGATGTGCCCAGACAGCCTTACGATGCATGTCCACATTTTGGTGTATTAGTCCTTGGACTTCTGCAGCGTTTTGGGCAGTATCGAATCCCTTCTCAGCGTATTCAGACATGTGTGAGGGTTGTTAACAAGTATAACGTCCGATTCGTTGACTGTTTCACAGACTTAAAAGTACTTGCAACTGGTAAAGTTCCCCCCTACTACCAGGTGCTGTGTCGATGAATGTCGCACGTAGAGAGCACCACCGAGTTGTAAGTAGTATGTAATTCTACCAAACCAGTGCAATTTCTATCCAACAAACATTGAAATGAAACAGAACAGGGAAATCCGATGCAACCTCAAGGTATGATGCAACTTTATTTACTAGTGTTCGTTTATACTTTTCGAAGCGGTAGAGTCCAAAAGCACTCAAGTCAAAAATTTACCACCCCGTTGACCCGTGAATTCTGACATCTATCAGTTTATGATATACAGCACAGCCGCCATCCAATATCATCAGTATTCATCTTCACACTCGACTCAGTCACAATTACTCGCTAGAAGTCCAACTAGTATCAAAATACACCACTGAAAGGAGTTCCTTGTGTGTGAGACCAAGTTCTCACCAAGAATCAGATAACTTAGTGTTGTCTTTTGACTGCATTCCATTGAGCTTATTCAGTTTCTGGTGCTTGCATCACGCGTGAAGTCCGTATGAACATAGGCTGAAATGGGGAAACGATAGCACTTCTGTAGCCAGTCGCCTCTTGATCTGACCAGGCTTTCTAACCCAATACTACATAAGCGGCTGTCATTAAGGATCCAGTCATGTTGTGCAGCCACTCAGTCAAACAACGTCAACATGTCACTCCATCACACTGCACTGAGTGGTTGTTCATACACGATCCCGAACTAGCTAATCAAGCGAACCGTCTCATCAACATCGATTCCGTTGAAACTAGATAGGCCTTTCTCACTTAACTCAACGTATTCTAACTAAGCCACTCAGTTTGTTGATTGTTTTTGCTTGACTTACGTATTCCATTCATGTGAATAAACCTAATCGATTTGCACTTCTACATGAAACTTGCACAACAATGAATATCAACTGTGGCTATAACTTACCTTAAGTAATTGATTAAATCCTTTTCAAAGTGAGACGAAAACTCGTCAATATTATTACTCATTGAAAGGGAATGTGTGCATGCCTCCATTTCTGATTGACCAGCTTGTTCTGTTTTAACACGATAATTAATGTACAATTTTTCAGTAACATCTGTATTCACTTTGTCCAACTGTTCCATATTGAATTGAGTGAACATGTCACTGATTCCACTGATATCACCATCATTTAGTTTAGCATGAAAATTAACTATCCTGACCTATAGAGAAAATATGATGATAAGTGTGAGCGAGTTGTCTTTTCAATATGTGCGATGAAAGGAGACCTGTTACTCTTGTTTCAAAATGGAGGCGAGCATAATTTGCTTCACAACACACAGACTTGCACACACACACACACACACACAAACTCAATTCACAATAAGTCGACTTCGAGTAACGTGAATGAGGGTAAACGTGTCACTTTGGACGGGACAATACCTACTGTTGCATGTCGAAGAGAATTATATTCAGAAATTGATTCGTAACAATAAGTGGTCTTCGTTTACCCAACCTCGTAGTCCTATGGTGTGAATGATGGTGGTCACACATAACTGCATTAACCTGTATCAACTCTGTCCACACCTTCTTTGAAATGTGCACCTGTCGCAATAGAATACCATCAGAGAATAACATGTTCACTGTCGTGTTGACTGAAATTATTTATTATTATTATGACAGGGCCAGGAAGTTATGTTCGCCTAACAAGGTAGAAGAAGAGTTAAGTTTTGTTGAAAAATGCCTTAAGTAAAACGGGTATCCAAAAGGATTTATCCTAAAATACAGCAAAGAAAGAGATGAGAAAGAGATGTGTCCAACAGTTGAAAAAAGAAAAGGAGAAACAGTTTCGCAAAAGATTGAAAAGAGGATGAAAGGAGAAATAAAGAGATGCTTCCCTGCAGCCGATCTTGTGACACTATACAGTACTACAAGCTCTATAAGCCAATCGAAACTGGATAAGTACCGTGCTGATGTTACCTCCAACGGTATTTATAAATTTACGTGTACCTGCGGCAGCAAGTACATTGAAAGGATAGAAAGAAGGGCTTCTATCCGGTTTTCAGAGCATATTCCGAGAAACTTATGCTTAAAAAGAAGCATATATTTACAAAGTGCAATTACCAGACACCCACTCTGTGGATACGGGTCATTTTGTCGAGATTTCCAAATCCTTCAAAATATTAAACATACGAAGGACAGCAAAGCCATTATCCAATACTCCGTTAAAGCCCCGAATCTCATTCAGGTCTAAGCGTCAGATAGCTACATTATTCACCACCTTGTCACATATTTTCGTGTACAGCGAATTTGAAGTAAAGTCAATCTGGAGATTTCTTTGTGAATACTGTCTTGAAGTACTTTCCCAGTTCCCACACTCCAACCTGACTTCTCCATCTCTGATCTGAAAATAATACATAGTCAAGTAAGTATTATTAATTTGTACATTCTCAAATATATTTTCATCTATCTTCTTTTCATTTCATCAGAGTATATTCACCAATAAACTTCTGTCAGATTTCGGAAATTCTAAGCAAACGTAATCCCCTCAAGCTGTGTTATTTAGTCAGCTTTAGTTGTCATTTGTGGAATGAAGATTAGACTGGGAACCGTTATTTGAGAGATTTCATATATTCTGATTATAACGTCATATGTTCATTGTATACGGTAGCTGACTTACCAATGCTATCATGAATACAACGAGCAGACTACTGAAGAGACTTGCTGAGAGTTGGATGTCGTCAACTGAATAGGCCATTTTATCCTTATATGTCGTTTATCAGTTACTTCAGAGAATTCCAACACACCAAAACCATGATCGGGCGCTTGAAATAAAAAAGTGGCATTCAAACACACAGACTCAATTAGAAACAAGCTTTGTCGGTTAAAGGATTCTGCGAGTCAGTCAGTCAGTCAGTCAGTCAATCAGTCAGTCAGACTAGCCGAACATAAAAACCTAGCAAAATCTAGTTTCGGTTGACCCGAATAAGGTAAGAAATATAGAGAATAGTTCAGCTTTCGCAAACACTACATGCAATTACACACAACCATACAGTAGACTGGATGGGATAATGTCACAGGGTGGAGGGAGAGATTGATAACAGAAGCTTTGTTTATCGAATCAACTACAAATACATGTAATATGAATGATTTAACACCTGTCACAGAGATGTGGAAAATTCTACTACCCCGACGACGACAAACAGGAGAGGACAAAAACAACTATAAAACTCAAGTTTCGAAGTCGTGTGATTATAATTGATATGATTATGAAGAATAAAATTTTGTTCGAAACTGTGTCATCCAGTAAATAATACTGTTTCACTGTGTGATACATCTAATAAACGAAGTAAAATGGTTCTCTAGCTGATATCAATCCGTGATCAACTCATAAAATCAAAACTAACCCTTACAAACCAAACTATAGAAAATTAATATGGAATTATTTAAAATAAATACACATATCTGTACTGGAAAATAGATCAAGCTTCTTAAAAATGAGAATTTTAATGACAATGTGTGCATAAAAGCGACACTGTTTAACAATGAAAAACATTTTGGTTTCTATACTTGGTTTTGTAATGATACATGAATTTGCAATCATACTGATATCAATTCGCTCCGCCCCCGCTTGTTTAACATCTCTGCAAACTGATACAAAATCCCACGTGGTACAAATTGTGTGCCAAATGAATTCTATAGATACAAGCCAAAACTCATTGCTTGTTTATCGAGTAAAAATTGTACGGAGGAGTAGACACTTACCGGTTAGTGTACCCACTCAAACTGTTAATGTCTGTTCGACACTGTTGTAGATAAACAGGTATTCAAATATATGCTAACATCGATGAGTTCCCAGCCACAAGATTGATGTAATCAGATAAAAAGTTTAAGCGGTTGTCACTAATTAATATTAATTCATTAGAACATAATTCACTGTACAAGTGATTTTGTGAATGTTAGTCGCTTATTTTGCCACCTAAGACCAAGGCATCATCATGTGACACGTATGTGTTATCAAACTTAGTTACCTTAAAATTGGAAAAAAACACGAAGTTGTATACAGGCAGGGATTCTGAGTGTGTTGACAAGTAGATTATTTAAACCTGCTCCAATTTTCCAAGTATGCAGGGGAATCAATGTATGTACACTGTGATGAGGATTTGTACCACTATCCAAAGTATTTTCACCATCCCAGACTTGCTGTGTTTTTTTTAAGATTCTGTGTAAATTATGAGATATCCCAAATAGGGTGTAGTGCTGATAACTACATACAGGTGAGAAACTCAACATGATTATGAGCAAAAACAACAGGTGCACACACTTAGCATCATTATTTCTACCAATGGTAGCAGTAGCAATGGTGGTGTGAGTACTTATCATAACAATGCTTTTGTAACCATGTTTTCAGTGTTCTAATCTTAAGGAAACACGGTAGACACCTAATGATAACAATGAACAAGACTGATGATTAGGATGTATCAACACGCAAGTTATTTGATATTTTCTATGAAAGATATGACCAGTGTGTGTAGAAACATCAAAAGCATGGTAACAAAAAATAAATGTAGCAAAACAACCTTGTCAGTTAACTGAATGCCTGAGGAAAAAGTATAACGGACACAAACAAGTAAACTAATTCTGATAATATAAATGAATGAGAACCTAAGAAAAGCTGGAGGCATTCAGATATAAACAGGAACTGACTGCAATTCATAACCAACTTAGCTCTGTTCTATTTTCTAAGACACAGCAACACGAACAGATAAATCAGTAAATAAAAAAATTAATGATTATAAGACAAATAAATAAATGTCTGAAGAAAATAATGTTCGAGCTGAAAGCTGTACAGTTGGTGATCTCCAATAATTCGTAACCTGGTTATTAAATGCAACAGGACCTCTGCATATCTCAATTATTTAAACAATTACTGCAGTGACTACAAAATCCTCCTCGTTAATCTGAAAAAGACAGTCATTTGCTTGCTGAAAACCTAAAGGAAGTCAACTCTCCAACTAGTTAGTATAAAATGCGTCATCTATTTGTGTCAGGATTTCACTAGTAAATTTTTTTCATTTTTCTCACTTTTCATTACAGCTTGATTCCACACCGTATTTTTTGGTACAGGTATGGAATTTTCAGCATGTGATATCGGTAGACCGAATTTGGCAGGCCGACCAAACATATCAGGTGTGGGTCGGGAGAGCATCGAACTTCCGACCATGTTCATGATCGGCGAGAGTCCTAACCCCTGTGATACCGAAGCACTTTCTTCAGCGATTAAATTTGAAATAGTATGGAAATGATATGTTTCTTCAACCGACTCCCTCTCTCTCTCTCCCCTTCTGATTACGTTCCGGTTAATACTAATTTGTGTAAGATGAAAATAAGCTGATTCGTTCTAATACTTTCTTAGAGTTATTCTACTTCGTTACTGCAACAGCTAGAGGGCCGCTGATGAAATTTCTTCTGTTAGGGATGACCTTTTAAGTTCCAACTACTTTGTAGTGAAGCAGCTAACAGTATGAGTCATTTTCCTAGGGGAGAAAAAGTTTCACATGTTCACATTTTATCTGTCAGATATTCAGTGTTCACCGTCAACTGACAAATTATAGAGGTAAAAAGGTCTAATTTTCACTAGGGTAAAACAATTTTCAATTCTTCACTAAATATTGTTAGTTTTCTATTGAATATACTGAACATATGTTACACGGACATATCAGTTAAGGATGGCAACCCGAATGTACTGGAAGGGTTTAAAATAAACATTTCATTGTGTTTGTACGTATGTCAGACTATTTTATTTAACATTTTCATAAAGAGAACTTTCTACTTTATTTTCCACATTTCAAGGGGAATTCTGTACATATACATAATACGCTCTAATCGAGTATAGGATAAACCTATAACTTTTGAAACATCAAAAGATTTGACACAGTTCAAAGATCCGTAGACGGTTATTTCTAAACTCTTGTTATGCTCATAGCATTCATTGAACTGCTATCTGTTATGTAATCATGATTAACATGCTCTATATGTTTTGAAGTTATCAGATATATAGTGAGTGATATGTTAGATGCACAATGATAACAATACAAGGCATCGTTTGATACCCATTAGATGTTTTCATTAGGACAATGTTTCTACTTTCAGCTAGGACAGAAGATTAAAAAACACAAAAATAATAATAATAATAATTTTTCCTTCACGTTCCCAGTGGAACATAGGGCCTCAAGCTGGTGGCTTCAAGTTTCTGTAGCAGTGTTTATTACTATTATTATTTTTTTTTACAGGATGGGGTTGTTAGCCTCATGCCCAACCTTTCCTCTTCACCAGAATCATTTCTGGCTTAGCGAGGTAAAGGAGTGCGTCGGCCGAGGTTCGAACCCCGGACCATGTGCATGGTCGGCGAGCGTCCTAACCGCTGTGCCACCGACGCACCAAAAAAACACACAAAACAATCAATAAATTAGCTATCGCCTTGTTGTCTAATGTTTTCTTTGTTTGTTAATCATACAATATGATAATTACTTTCGGCCATTTCTTAGCAGGTTCCATAATTATAAATGAAACCCGTTTAGCCTAGACATTGGATAACAGTGACGTCTTAAAGTGACAACTGATCCACGAAATTTCAAACCATTACGTATGTAAAAGACGTTAAGAACACAAAATGAAATTAGTTCACTCAATCAGGATGTTTATTATTACTTTAGAAAAAGTTAACTAAGCTAACTACATGAACTAACCAATTATTAACTTAAAGTGGTTCTCAAAAGTGGCACTAAAGCCGAAAATATCACAAACAAACCACTGAAAGCATAAACGATTTATTCAAAAATTTATGTTTTATTATTATCAGTCAACCACCAAAATAACTCTGACGATATGCATTTAACGCCAGTGTTGACTGGAATTAACCTTGTAGGAAATGAGAATCTTGTGTGCATGAATCACATAAATAAATCCCACAAATATTTGGATCAGTGATTTTCATCACTTCTCATCGCCAAAATAACTAACTATCCAACATTTTTGTTCATCTGTTCATACGTCTAGCCTCGTGTTGATTTTTATCACATTCAAGCGTAATGACTGCTTGAATAGATGCTTCATTATTCATATCTTTTATCTGGTATTCCATGGCGATCAGGTCGTCTAAGTGCATTTCATCCTGAATAGAAAATATCAGGCGGCTTTCTTTAAAGCCTGGTGAGTAACAATGATTCAACTTAAATTCACCCCACCACACACAGTTTAGAGCGTGAAAGCAATGGGTTGTCAGTAGATTCCACTTGGTAGTTCTAAGTACAACGGGGAGTTAATCCTGGATTTAAACGTTGTCAGTCACCAAGGGGATAACACTTGGCATTTCAAAGCATATCTGCTTTAAATTTAATCAGGAATAGTTAACGTGAAATTAAGATGGAATATCGTTTATTTGTAATTTATAATCACAATCTATGACAGTGATCAGTTTTAGTAGATGATGGAAGTAACTGCAATTAATTTATACCACCAAGTTTTATCCTGTCTCGTCATTAGCAGACATTTACTTCGGTTCAGCAATAGTGGTATTATTTATGAGAGGTATTGTATTCATTATGATTTCCACTCATATAAACTCATGAACACATGCTGTTAGTCTCAGAAGACTTTAATCTTAAAAACCAGTCAGACTTTGGAGACTGTGAAATTTTACTCTAAATAGACAAAGTATTAAAAGAAAATTAAATCAATTTGTGACCTGTACTATCTTGAGACTTACATCATCCATTATTAGTGATCTCGTGTATTTACACATTTTTTCTTCGTCATAAATTTTCTAGTGTATATCTAGCCCAAAAGTACATGCACAAAAATGTGACATGTACTTTTAAATATTGGATGCCTCGAAATGCAATCAAACTTGGTGTACATTATTTTATTTGTTAACCTACATACTCATGTACTTTTTTTGGCTGTTGAAACCTATCAGTCATGTGACCAGATTCCGTTCTTTATTCGTCTACATAATTAGTTACTGTGTAACCTAAATTAACCTAGTCAATAGAATCTGCTTCAATTTATGAAAATCCAAGTAAATCAAAATGATTTTGGACTTCTAGTGCTATTCGCCGATTACCAGACCATACGTCAGTATCCCACCAAGAACCATGCTACTCTGTTAGCGTGAACCATTACTTGTCAGGCGAAAATGAGTCAGATATGCTCATTCCACGTAACGTACACATATTAGCTGGGTTCTTTGTAAAATTTCTATAAATCTTTGAAAAACTTCATAACTTCATACTGGATAGGAACAATATAAATATATGGATATATATAAATGGATAGGAACAGTATAAACGTTCCCTGGTGAAATGTTTGTTCTCAAGGGCTCGAAAAATATGTACGAGTGACACATTGATGGATAAGCTTCGACATATACATTCAGTTTTACTAGCCAATGGTTATCCAGAAAACTTCATCAATTGTCACGGTAAGGATAGACCACATCTTGAAAAGACAGCTTCTGTACCAAAGAAAGCCATCTTTATTAATCTACCATTCAAGGGCGACCAGATTATGCAGTTGACAGCTCAAAGACTTCGGTCAGCCATCAAACGCACATTCTACGCCGCCACATCTCTTTTTCTCACTTGCCGAACATTTTTGATCCCTGTACCTACGATTAAAGGACGAAATTCTGTGGACTCTACTTCAAACTGTATCTACAAGTTCACCTGCATCTGCGGTGACACCTATATAGGTAGAACTAACACAATGTTCCAATGTCGTCGAAAAGAACATGTTCCAAAATGGCTAGTAAATCATATCGAAAATCCTAACGCGATTAATCTTAGTAGAAATCCAGCATCATCCATTGCAAAACACTTATTAATGTCTGGTCACAAAATCAATATTAATGACTGTTTCACAATTATTTCACCACATAACTCTAATTCAAGGTTATTGAAGGTGATGGAAGCACTTTGGATTAATCACATACAGCCTAAACTGTGTATACAAAAATCAATAGACTTCAATCTTCGCCTACCCTGGACTAGATGACCTATCGAAATATGATTGGTTATTAGTATGTACTTTTGGTTTTATTTAACTGAGTAATTTTCATGAACTTTATTTTATCATTGTTAACCATGTTAGTTGTAAAGCGGTTGTAAAGATACTATGAAATGATATCATCTCGCGAAATTTGTCTTCTTAATGCCTTATTCAAATTTATCAAAGGGACTAATTGTTTTAATTAACCCAATAAGTCAAATGTGATATGCTTACCACAACACCTTGATATCTTTGGCTCATTTCCACTCGAAATCCTATTGTGTTGGTGTGATACAGACAGAGTTTGCCAACGGAATATTATTCTCATATATTCCCACAGTTCAATTCGGCATTCGCAACAGAATACAACATATCTATTTGATCATTCTATTTGATGATAGAGACAGAATACATCTCCCACGGTTATATACTGCATTAACAAGAGAATACTATGTATATATTTGAACATTCTATTTCATGTCGTTCAATGTAAACCGAAATCACACGCTCAATGATTGATAAAAGAATATAAACTGTATATGTATAAACAGCGGTATATTATTATTATTATTATTGTTAATGAAAGTCTGTAGCTTGTTGTGATGCTGTTTGTGACGCGCTGGCCAAGTCTATGATCCGTATAGTAGCACAGCCTGACTTCACATTGGAGTTGAAATCTGGATCTTATTTTTGATGCTGAGTAGGGCTGTTGACCTGCACACAGACTTAAGATTAATGTAGGCTTGTCTTGCTTCTCAGATTCTGGCTTTGATATCCTCGTCAATTCGTCGACCTGTAGTTGAAACGATGCTTCCTGTGTTTTTTTCTTTCAAGTTCCTCCATTTATGCTGGCTGATTGTTGTCTGTTGTTGTTGTTGCTGTTGGTGTTGGCCAGGAATCTTCATCACCTCTGTTTTATCTATGTTACGACTTGTTTTTCAATTTAAACCCAGGTCTTCTATGATTCACTCCAAAAGTGCATTTAAAACCAACGTAAGCGTACTTAAATCTGTCATCCGGTATTGTTTTGCTATAAGTATGAACATAGTGAGTGCAGGACAACTAAATCGTTAGCATTAAATGACTTCCTTACTTTTTGAAATTCTGCTAATGATTTCTCAAATTCATCCCAGCTGAAGAAACGCCTTTCAAGTATTAATTCACCAAAAATCCCACTTAAGTCTGCGCTCCTTTCGCTGGAATTGACTACCTGCTACGAACTGAAATAGATTTATCAATTAGTATCCATCTATGTCACAACTATTCCAAGATAAATCGTAAAAAAACAACATTGAAATACAGGAATGATCAATAACCATCAGGCAAATACCGCGCGTATAACTTAAATTACAGAAAAGCACAAGAACCCACCGGTTCGTTGACATCGCAAGCAACCAATAGGCCAAACAACGGAGTGTATGACGAACCAAGCCTAGTACATGCACAAATAAAGAAAAACAAAGCGTTAGAATAGTCAAATTTACGTCTATACTCATCACATATACTAGAAAACGACGCAAACACAACCACACAAAACAGCACCCGACAGCACTTACCCAGGACAATTCAAAATCCAATTGACCGCCACTGTTCTAGCCAATGAAAGACGGGAAAACCTGAGGCGCGGAAAATATAACAGGTCATAGCGTATATCCTCACCCCCATTGAGTCATATGAAAAAGAGAAGACGTTCAGGGAAGAGACTCTTTTCGGCAAATTCATTCACATAGCTGTACAATCGCATTTATATATAATTATTTGTGTGTGTGTGTGTGTACATGAGGTTTGTTAAGTTTAGATAATTGATCAGGTAATAAAAGAATGATCTAATATAGAAACAAGGTTAATCAGACAGCAACTAAAGTAAGATTGACTTAGTAATTTAGATGACGTGATATAATTAACTAAAATGTTTCAACTTAGGTCAGGGTGTGGTGAGAGCAGCTGCTAGCCAATTGGTAGACATCAGTCTACGTCAATGTCTAGGTCACTAATATTGGCCGTGAGAAAATATGAACAAGGCTGATTCAACAACCAACCACAGCAGACTAAACGTGGGCAAATATGATTTGCAGATAAATGGATCCACTTTCCGAGGTTACCCGAAACAACCAATCAGAAGCCTGCGTTTGTCTACTTGAATAAGCTATAATAATGTACAGGAAATATATATAAAATGATCTGTTGCCGGCCCTTGTCTTCTGTTGTTACAAGGGTAGCATCAGAGGTAATTACAGGTAGAGACTAAGTAGAAGTGGGGTAGATAATAATGCCATTTAAATTGGAACTGAAATTGAGCAATTAAGTTGGATGATGTAACATAAATGACTAGAAATTGAGCGTTGGTCAAGTCAGTAATAGTGGTAGTGAGGTGTAGAAACTAAATCGGGTGGGGGTAGAGAACAAGAAAGTTGAAAATGCAATATAATACAACTGAGAAGACAAAATAGTACTAATGAAGAGACAGAAAAAAAAATTAGGTAGAATTTACTTGTCGGGTAATAAGATAGATTAAGTCCATTGCAAGTGTAGTGATTGAACGAACTTCTTCTGTATGCAGAGTTCAGGGCTTAGCAAGTGAATCGCCATTGCTTCTGCAGTTAGAAGAAGTCTGATTCGTACACCTTTAGGAAGACTACTTCTTACTCTGTAGACGACTTTGAAGTTTGTTATTGACTTGACCAACGCTCAATTTCTAGTCATGAATAATAATAAATAATAATAATTTATTTTACTTTATTCCAAAAACAGTACTTATAATACAGAATGGAATTCTCAGCGTTTGTCACAATATCGCATCTGATTTACTTAAAATATCAATACAATTAAAAATTAAAACAAAAGTAAGCAGAGGAATTTGTCCACGCTTACGATATAAAGTCAAAAATATTCTAAGCACGAATTGAGATCATTAAATATTAATAATGATAATAATAATAATAATAACAGTGAGTTTGTTTCAAACAGTATTGTCGATTCACTTTGAAAATTTTAGCATGTTACTATAGAGTATTGAATCTAATGTTCTGTTGATATAGTATACTGAGGGGAAATACAAGATTAACTCAGCTTAAACGATGTTCACATTTATGAAAAATAAATAAATAAAAACAAAAAATTTGAGAGGATTATAAATATAAGAAATACAATAACAATCAAGTTTGGTACTGTAAGGGTGGAAGAAATGGTTTATTTAATAGTGCAAAGAAGGTTAGTTATTTCATGCCTGACACCTTTTTCATCACATAAAGTACGTGCTAAATATGGTATAGTGGAATTTTTATACTTAGACGTACGTGAGTAAATTCATCTAAAAAGACTTCTTGTTTTACCTGAGGAGACACAAGGCTGGAGCTGCGGGTAGAGTGGGTGCTCAGAGTGTGACAAAATTCCTTTAGCAAATTTGTTGCATGACATCAAGTGCCTTCCAGTGACATTGTCAACGATATGGCCCAATGGGATACCACTCGTCCTACTGACAGCTTTCAGAGTTCTACGAAGTATGAAGTAATCTTTTTTAAGCAATCCAGGAAAGAATAAGGGTGAACAGTAAAGAAGAATAGGTAATATGCACGAGTTGACAAACTGTAAGAGGAGGGGTTGGGTTATGCCTGAGTGCCTCAACTTCTTAATGTAAAAAGTCGGACGAAATATTCTTTTAGAAATCGCTAAGACATGGGAAGACCAGGATAGGTCAGAAGAAAGAATTAATCTAAGATACTCAA